CAAGAGCGAAACTCCGTCTCAAAAAAAAAAAAAAAAAAAAAAAAAAAAAGCTTAATTCTTAGAGCATAACTGTTACCTGGATGTTTACATTTTCAAAAAAAGCATCAATTTTGATAAGATCATTTTGCATTTCTATTTACCAGTGACAATTAAAAAATAATAGTGCAACAGATAATCAATATTTGGGAAATGAAAGAGAGCTATTAAAAGAAATTTAAATTCATAATAGGAAAAAACAGAATAAATGGAGAGATAAATAAATAAAACTTGAGTAAATGGAGAGATAAATAAATAAAACTTGAGTAAATGGAGAGATAAATAAATAAAACTTGAGTAAATGGAGAGATTTTCTGTTCCAGAATCAGAAGATTTAAAGAAGTTAACATTGATGTACTACTTAATATCCAACCTAATTTATAGAGTTAATAGAAATTAAATTTCAAATATACTATTTTATGAAAATTGACATAATGTATTCCCTAATAAAATTTTTATAATGAAAATAATAGGCTGGGTGCAGTGGCTCACATCTGTAATCCCAGTGCTTTGGCAGGCCAAGGAGGGAGGATCAAAGAAAAGAAAAGAATAGTTAAGCATACTAAAGCGTTTTTTGAAAAGATGTAAGCCAATGATATGAAAAATTACTCTGTTAATATGTAAAGTATATTTAAAATGTTAACAAAGGGCCAGGCTTGGCGGCTCATGTCTGTAATCCCAGCACTTTAGGAGGCTGAGGCAGGTGGATCACCTGAGGTCAGGAGTTTGAGACCAGTCTGGCCCACATGGTGAAAGCCCCTCTCTACTAAAAATACAAAAATAATACAGGCGTGGTGGCACGTGCCTGTGATCCCAGTTACTCGGAAGGCTGAGACATGAGAATTGCTTGAGCCCAGGAAGCAGAGGTTGCAGTGAGCTGAGATGGAGCCACTGCTCTTCAGCCTGAGCGACAGAGTGAGACCCTGTCTCAAACAAAATAAAAGAGATATTGATATGATATTATAGGATAAATTGTATGAATTGGATTCAAAGCACAACAGTAGATTGATTAAAAACACAACAGCAATTACAATTGTTTTTTTTTTAATGTTTTGTTTATTTCTTAGAGACTGAGTCTTGTTCTGTCACCCAGGCTGGAGGTGCAGTGGCACGGTCATAAGCTCACTGCAGCCTCAAACTTCCAGTCTCACGTGACCCTCCCGTCTCAGCCTCCCAAGTAGCTAGTACTACAGGTACGCACCATCATGCCATGCTAATTTTTAAAAATTTTTGTAGAGGCATGGTTCTTACTATTTTGGTCTGGCTGGTCTCAAATTCCTGCCCTTAAGTGATCTTCCTGCCTTGGCTCTCAAGTGCTGGGATTATACATATGAGCCACGGTGCACAGCCCCAGTGGTTCTAAACTTGATAAAACGTTAATTAAAAAATCATCTAGGATAACGAAAAAGTAAGACAGGAATCATATATAATAGATGTAATTGAGAAAAGCTGATATAAAAATACTTATGTCCTCTGATGTCATTTATTATAATAATCTCCAGATGTTTTAAAGAATTAATATTGAAAATACCTCTTTTAAAAGTTAAACTAATTAGTATATATAAAATAGTTATCCAACTATGGTGGGTAAATTAATTTTACAACTATTAAAGCAGTAGGTTAGGGCCAGGTGTGGTGGCTCATGCCTGTAATCTCAACACTTTGGGAGGCTGAGGCGAGTGGATCACTTGAGGTCAGGAGTTTGAGACCAGCCTGGCCAACATGGTGAAACCTCCTCTCTACAAAAATACAACAATTAGCTGGGCATGGTGGTGGGCAGCTGTAATCCCAGCTACTCAGGAGGCTGAGACACAACAATTGTGTGAACCTGGGAGGTGGAGGTTGCAGTGAGAGGAGATGGTGCCACTGCACTCCCCTAGGTGACATCCCTTGGGAGACGGAGTGAGACTCAGTCTCAAAAAAATAAATAAATAAAATAAAGCAGTAGGGTAAATAATAAATGGCAAATTGGAAACAGTAATAATCTTAATCAATTCATGATAAAAAGGAAAAAAAGCAAAACTATTTGAAATAAAGCTGGTAAAAATTAATATTAAAAATATAAAGAAGAATTACAAATCTATAGGTCAGTACTCCTCTGCTAAACAGTTAAAGGATATGAACAAATAGTATAAGAGGAAACACAAGCACGAAGCCAACATTTGGGAATATTTTGGTCTTGCTAATAATGAAAGTGTGAATTAATAAAAGTATAAGTCTTCCAGGCCAGGTGTGGTGGCTCACACCTGTAATCCCAGCACTTTGGGAGGCCAAGGTGGTGGATTACTTGAGGTCGAGAGTTCAAGACAAGCCTGACCAACATGGTGAAACCCCATCTCTACTAAAAATACAAAATTAGCCGGGTATGGTGGCGCATGCCTGTAATCCTAGCTACTGGGGAGGCTGAGGCAGGAGAATTGCTTGAACCTGGTAGGCAAAGGTTGCAGTGAGCTGAGATCATGCCATTGGACTCCAGCCTAGGCAACAAGAGCAAAACTCCATCTCAAAAAAAAAGTCTTTCAAACGAAATACTTGTATTTCCTATCTATTGAAGTAGCATAGTGACAAAATTCCATGGTAATGTGAGGGAAATAGACACACTCCTAGATTGCTATTGTGTTTTCTGGACAACAGTATATCAAAATGAAACACAAGCTACTAAGAATATTATAGTCTTCTTTAAGGCAATATGCCCAAAGGAGTAACACTCAGGAAAATAATGTAAAAGAAGAAAGGTTATTTGTATGAAAATAATTGTAGCCACATTATACTAGTGAAAATCTGGGGATTATCTAACTACCTAACAACTTGATTATTGTAATAAAAACTAGAAAATAGCCGGGCGCGGTGGCTCAAGCCTGTAATCCCAGCACTTTGGGAGGCCGAGGCGGGTGGATCACGAGGTCAAGAGATCGAGACCATCCTGGTCAACATGGTGAAACCCCGTCTCTACTAAAGGTGCAAAAAATTAGCTGGGCATGGTGGCGCGTGCCTGTAATCCCAGCTACTCAGGAGGCTGAGACAGGAGAATTGCCTGAACCCAGGAGGCGGAGGTTGCGGTGAGCCGAGATCGCGCCATTGCACTCCAGCCTGGGTAACAAGAGCGAAACTCCGTCTCAAAAAAAAAAAAAACTAGAAAATACTAATATGTGGTCATATTAGTAACTACTAAGGCCATAAACCTAAGGACTTTGACTCTATCACGCATAGAATCTTTAAATTAAAAAGTGTAATGAGGCTTGGCATGCCTGTGTCCCAGCACCTTTGGAGGCCGAGGTGGGTGGATCACCTGAACCCAGAGTTTGAGACCAGACTGGGCAACATGGCAAAACCCTGTCTCTACAAAAAATTTAAAAATTAGCTGGGTATGGTGGTGCATGCTGTAGCCCCAGCTACTTGGGAGGTTGAGATGGGAAGATCACCTGAGCCTGGGAATGTCAAGGCTGCAACGAACCTGATCATACCACTGCTCTCCAACCTAGGAGAGAGACTGCGATCTTGTCTCCACAAAAAGAAATAAAAGTGGAATGAGTTTGTTATGTGGACATTGATAATGGTCAAAGTATATTTGTCTAATAAGAGCAAAAGTACTACCAGTGTTCCTCAGCGATCTCAGTCAGTGCTTCTCAGACTTTCATGTGATGAAATCAAGTGATCTGTCATGCTTCCATATTGGAAAGCTTATATTATACAACAATTCCATTATCATAGAACGTTTTATTGGACATTTTTCAGCTAAATCATTAATGTCTCAAAGTGAGGGAGATTTTACATCTTTTTTCGGTAGAGTTGTTTGAAACATACTATTAAGAGCTTGTTGCATTCCTTTGTAGTCTCAAGTAAGTATGTGCTTTGGTATACAGACATAAAGAGATACAGCAGTGAGCAATGTTATGTAATGAAAATGTTAGGAAGATGGAATTCTTTTGTCCCATTGATTTTACTGCAGTCCTGGATGTGTTTTCGTAAGTTGCTGTAAGTTTCTTGATAGGCAACCATTTTTAATAGATTTCGTTTCTTTGCCAGTCTTTTCCTCTTCGGACCCTTCTGAGCGATACACAAATTATAACTTAATGTATACTAGGGGAGGTGCTGTTTAAAGAAGTATTGCAATAATTTAGACTCAGATGTATGTATATATTTGAAGAAGATAACACCATATTCCCATTTATTTGTTTCATGAATTTATTTTACTAAAGTGTATTTTTGGCCAGGTGCAGTGGCTCATACCTGTAATTCCAGCACTTTGGGAGGCTCTGGCGGGTGGATCACCTGAGGTCAAAGAGTTCAAGACCAACCTGGCCAACATGGTGAAACCCCATCTCTACTAAAAATACAAAAAATTAGCCAGCTATTGTGGCGTGTGCCTGTAGTCCTAGCTACTCGGGAGGCTGAGACAGGAGAATTGCTTGAACCCAGGAGGTGGAGGTTGCAGTGAGCCAAGATAGTGCCATTGTACTCTAGCCTGGGCAACAGGAGAAACACTTGGTCTCAAAAATAATAATGAAGTAAAGTAAAAAAGCATACTTTTTTTTTTTTGAGATGGAGTCTTGCTCTGTCACCAGGCTGGAGTGCAGTGGTGTGATCTTGGTTCACTGCCACCTCTGCCTCCTGATTCAAGCAATTCTCCTGGCTCAGCCTCCCGAGTAGCTGGGACTACAGGTACTCACCACCATGCCCACCTAATTTTTGTATTTTTAGTAGAGACAGGCTTTTATCATGTTGGCCAGGCTGGTCTCCATCTCTTGATCTTGTGATCTGCCCACCTAGGACTCCTAAAGTGGTGGGATTACAGGCGTGAGCCATCTTGCCTGGCTGAAGTGTATTCTTTAAGCAGAACCGACCTGTGTCTGTTATCAAAGGATACGGGCATGGGTCTTTGCTAACTGAAAGTTTTATGGCTGATTTCTGTTTCTTTACATCTGTGGAGTAGAAATATTGACCACTGTCATGTTTTCTTTCAGGAATTTATGCAAATATTCTCATGAGGTCCTCTCAGAAGATAACTTCAGAGTCCTGAAAAATCATGAACTTTCTGGACTTAACCAAGAGGAATTAGCAGTGCTCCTTGTCCAAAGTGATCCTTTTTTTATGCCTGAGGTAAGTTGTGATTCCTCAGTTTAAGGAGGGAGAATATTACTGTCAGTATTGCATCACAGATATTTTGGAGATATCTGTGATACAGATGCAGCAGAGAAAATTCAAAGTTAACACCAGGACTCTGCAGGTGGCAGTTGAGGCCGTTGCTGAGTGACCTAAGAGATCTCGGAAATTTCCTATTTGAGGTTTTATAAGAATTTGAGTCTGGAATACCCCTTCCACCAGGCTGCAAGGGAACCCTGTGTGAGTAATTATGAGCTGAAGATCTGATAGTAGTCAGACTACTTGATGCTTTAAATCAAGGTGGCTTCTTGGAGGAGATGGGCTTCGGAGTGAGGTTTGGATGATGGCAGGGAAGATGAGGGTATGGGCTAAGCTGTTGTAACAGAGACCCCCTCAAAATACAGTGATTCAAATAAAGTGTAATTTTCTTTGACTATCAGTTGGTAATCTAGGTCAGGGGTCAGCAAGGTACAGCCCAGAGGCCAAATCTGGCCTGCCACCTGGTTTGTTTTTTTTTTTAAGATGGAATCTTTTTCTGTCACCCAGGCTGGAGTGCAGTGGTGTGATCTCAACTCACTGCAACCTCCGCCTCCTGGGTTTAAGAGATTCTCTTGCCTCCTCCTCCCAAGTAGCAGGGATTACAGGTGCCTGTTACCATGCCTGGCTAATTTTTACATTTTAGTACAGACGGGGTTTCACCACATTGGCCAAGCTGGTCTCGAATTCCCAACCTCAAGTGATCTGCCCACCTCAGCCTCCCAAAGTGTTGGGATTACAGGTGTGAGCCACTGTGCCCAGCCCAATTTTTTAAACAAAGTTTTACTGGAACACAACCACGCCTATTTGTTTATGACTGCTTTCAACCTGCAAGGGTGAGCTGAGTAGTTGCAATAGAAATAGAATGGCCTGCAAAGCCTGAAATATTTCCTATCTGATCCTTTATGGGAAAGGTTGCCAAGTCTTGGTTTTCCCTGGATATGGATAGGAGGGTAGCCTGAGTAGCCTGAGTTGTCAGGCAGCTAGATTCAATGATGTCATCAAGGGACTCAGGCCAGTAGGTCAGCTCTGTTATCTTCAAAATGTGGCTTCCGTCTCTGAGTACAATGAGTCTGTACTCGTCACCATTTTCTAGCCAGTGGGAATGTAGAAAGGAGGCAAATGGAAGGCAAGCAGTTTCCTTTCTTAAAAGATGTGACATGGACATTGTATATGGCACATCTGTTCAGTTGCATTGGCTAGAGATTATTACATGTCGTACTTAGCTGAAAGGGAGTCTGGGAAATGTAGTTTCTGTCTGGGTAACCACGTATCTACCTAAAACTTGGGAGCTTCTATTACTAGAAGAAAGATGGGGACAATGGTAGATAATTAATAGTTTCATCCATTCAGGAATATAGACTTAAGGATCAGAGGATACTGTTTAAAGCCTGGTATTTGGCCTGGTAAAATCCATAAATAGAGAAGTTAGCTTTACAGTTAAAGAGAGGCATAAAACATAATGGAAGACCCAGATGGGTGAGTAGAAAGGATGGGGAAAATGTAAACAAGGTTGAAAATCAGATGCACTTTTTTTTTTTTTTTTTTTGAGACAGGGTCTTGCTCTGTCACCTTGGCTGGAGTTCAGTGGCACAATCAGGGCTCATTGCAGTCTTGACCTCCTGGTCTCAAGTTATCCTTTTGCCTAAGCCCCCCAAGTATCTGGAACTAAAGGCCTGTACTACCATTGCTGGCTTTTTTTTTTTTTTTAAATTTTAGTAGGGACAGGGTCTCACTATGTTGCCCAGGGTGGTCTTGAACTCCTGAGCTCAAGCGATCCTCCTGCCTCAGCCTCTCAAAGTACAGGGATTATAGGCGTGAGCTACAGCACCCAGCTCAGATACCCTTTTATATACAATAAGATAGCTGTTGGGGACTTCTGGAGGCTGAAACACTTTTTGACTCTGAGCTCAGTGTGTTTCCCTAAGAACTTAAAAAACCTATAATATGGCCGGGCACGGTGGCTCACTCCTATAATCCCAGCACTTTGGGAGGCCGAGACGGGTGGATCACGAGGTCAAGAGATCAAGACCGTCCTGGTCAACATGGTGAAACCCCGTCTCTACTAAAAATACAAAAATTAGCTGGGCGTGGTGGTGCGTGCCTGTAGTTCCAGCTTCTCGGGAGGCTGAGGCAGGAGAATTGCCTGAACCCAGGAGACGGAAGTTGCGGTGAGCTGAGATCACGCCATTGCACTCCAGCCTGGGTAACAAGAGCGAAACTCCGTCTCAAAAAAAAAAAACAAAAAACAAAAAAAACCCCAAAAAACCTATAATATGAGAAGTGATTTTGAGTTGGCCACTGAGCTCAGGAGAGATATGAATGCAAGACACGTTATAAAGACTTGTTGGGTGTTGGGTGGGGGGAATATGTCCCATTCCCTCCCCAGCCCCATGCATTCTTCTATCTAGATACTTGGATTTGTTTCTCTCTCTCTCTCCGTCTTTCTCTGTCTCTCTGTCTCATTTCCAGGAGCCCAAGGTTTAAAGGTCTTATCTTGGGATGCCCATGACCTTTGGCCTGGATGCTAGCCCAGTCCCCATGCCTACTAGCATGGGAAAAATCCTTACACAGCATGGGAAAAATGTCAACCCCATTAAAGCTCCCACCGACAATCAGAGACATCCCATCCTTTTCCTTTCATTGAGAGAATGACAAGATGAAGTCTTGCCATGGCACCTGAGAGAAGAGTGTTTTGTGGTCTATCCTTAGTCCAGTGTTAACCTGGAAGGTTAGAAAGGCCGTTCATTCATCATGTCTGCTCCCTGCTTTGGTCCTTCAAAAGCAACAGGTACTTTTAACATCGGGCCACACATCTGTGTTGAGTCCCTGGAGAATAAGCAGACTCTTTCTGTATTAGTCCCTTTTCATGCTGGTATGAAGACATACCTGACACTGGGTAATTTATAAAGAAAAGAGGTTTAGTTGCCTCACAGTTCTGCATGGCTGGGGAGGCCTCGGGAAACTTACAATCATGATGGATGGCAAAACAGGAACATCTTACATGGCAGCAAGTGAGAGAAGTGAGTGCTAAGCGAAGGGGGGAGCCCTTTATAAACCATTAGCTCTCAGGAGAACTCACTCACGATCATGAGAGTAGGAGCATGAGGTAACTGCCCCCATGATTCAATTACCTCCCACCAGGTCCCTCCCATGACAAGTGGGGATTATGAGAAAAACAATTCAAGATGAGATTTGGGTGGGGACGCAGCCAAACCATATCATTTCCCTTCTCTAAGGAGGAGGTTGGCAGATAGGAGCCAATGAGAAGGTGCTGTTGCATGAAGGATACCAGGAGAGCCCGTTGACCACAGCACCATGAGGGTCCTTCTAGGAAAATGCTCCTATCATGCTTTTATCAAACAGTGCAAAGAAGAGGTTGGCGTCATCCGAGTTTCCCTTTCCGTTGTTAGAATTCAGTACCCACAATTAGAGGGGGAGGTGGGGTGGGGAGGTTCTAGCCTGAAGCTTATTTTTAGCTAATAATTTAATTGCCATTTTCCACTTGTCGGAGTTAAGATCCCAGACTGGGGGGCTGCATTATTTCTTGAACTAGAGGTCTGAGGAGCTGGTTTCTGGAGTTAGGATGAGTTACTATTGTTGGCATAAGTTTTTGTTTTGAGAATGCTGGGCAAGAGAAGGCTCTAAAGGAGTGTTTTAACATGGGGGAGTCGGATGGAATTTTTTAGGACTTTGGCAGGAGGAGTCAGCCAGAGTTCAGCTGATTTCAAGAAGAGTTGGTCCAGGATGGCTCTCTAAAGAGGGAGAAATTATCCCTGCAGATTTGCAGCTGTTGTTTGGGTGATTTGGATTTTTTTGTTTTCTTTTTTGTGATGGAGTCTCACTCTGTCTCCTAGGCTGGAGTGCAGAGGCGTGATGTAAGCTCACTGCAGCCTCCGCTTCCTGGGTTCAAGCAATTCTTCTGCCTCAGCCTCCCAAGTAGCTGGATTACAGGCATGTGCCACCACACCTGGCTAAATTTTTGTATTTTTAGTAGAGACGGGGTTTCACCATGTTGGCCAGGCTGGTCTTGAACCCCTGACCTCAGGTGATCCTCCTGCCTTGGCCTCCCAAAGTGCTGGGATTACAGGTGTGAGCCACCATGCCTGGCCAATTTGGATTTTATCAGAAGGGATGAGGAGAAAGAAAGGGGTTAAGTGCAAGAGGGAGTATAGAGAAACAGCTTTGTGGTTTGCGGGGTGTGAGATGGGGACTGAAGGGGAATTTTCCAGCCACTTCATTCGTTGTTTTATATTTCTTCAACTAATGTTTAAGAGCACCTGCAAGTGTGAGGCACTATGTTAAAATACTGGCGGTAAACAGTGGGAAACCGTACTTCCTGCCCTAAAGAACTTTACATATTCATACTTTTTTATTTTGCTTTGACCTGTGAGAACATAAAAAGATCAGGCAAACCTGACTGCCTGGTATACAAACTTGTATAATTGAAATGTGCTTATTAAAGAAAGAAATGCTTTCATTTGTTCTGGCCTAGTGAAGGCAGGAGCATTCTTGCTTAATATCAGCGTGGGAATAGGAATGTTACCAAAACATCATTTGTGAAGCTAATGGTGCTTTTTTGCTATAGCTCAAACTTTAGCATATGTCAGAATCACCCAGAAGGTCTGTTAAAACACCGACTGTTGGCCCCACCTCTGATGGTTATGACTCCGGATACGGGCAAGTGCCTGAAGATCTGCATTTCTAACAAGTTTACGGTGCTGCTGATGGTGCTGGTCCGGGGACCACACTTTGAGAATTGCTTCTGGAGTCTGGAATCTGGATAATAGACTTGACAGCAGTTACATATATCTATTTGTTTTATTTTATTTTTTTTGAGACGGGAGTCTTGCTCTGTTGCCAGGCTGCAGTGCAGTGGTGTGATCTCGGCTCACTGCAACCTCCACCTCCCAGGTTAAAGCAATTCCCCTGCCTCAGCCTCCCAAGTAGCTGAGATTACAGGCACACACCCCCACGCCTGACTAACTTTTTGTATTTTAGCAGAGATGGGGTTTCACCATGTTGACCAGGATGGTCTCGATCTCCTGACCCTGTGATCTGCCTGTCTTGGCCTCCCAGAGTGCTGGGGTTACAGGCATGAGCCACCGTGCCCAGCACATATATCTGTTTGAATCAGATTTTACTCGTTGTCCATGTGGCTAACTCATTGCTAGTGGGGTTTGAATCATGCACGGCTTTGTCATCTGGACAGATCACAGTGAATCATACTGATCTGGTTTGCTCAGAATCTAGTGAAACAACTTAGAAATGTTTTAATCATTAAAATGTCTGAAATTCAGGTTTCTTACTCATTATATTGATTTCCTTATTTCACGGTTCAACACTTGCATCACACTTTATATTTTGCATAACACATTTATTAAGTTTTGTTATTTAGTCTGCTTAACAACTTGGTTCATGTAGACAGAACGAATCCTTTCCTCCTGTCACAGCAAAGGAAATGGAGGCTGGGAGTAGGCCAGGGATCCCTTGAGGTTCCAAAGCTGCTTCCAGGACCTCAGATTTTAAAACCAGCATCCTCCAGTTCTGTATCATATGGCCTGGCCCTAGCTGCAGTATTCTTTCTGCCCTCTTTCCAGTAGGAACTATGTCTCTTCAGAGCTAGTCATGTACCTGTGTCTATTTAGATGGAAATATAAAACTTAACTTCTTTAGGCGACCTTTTGATCAATTTCATTCTGCCCAGCAGAGACTAAATTCTGGATTTCCAAACAGTTGCAGGTAAGACCTATGTGTCCTTTTCATTGCAAGGTGAGTTGATAACCAAAGATGACCCTGCCTGTGCTGGGTTCCTTCATGATATAGGGCTCACTTTGGGTCCTGTTTGTAGCTAACCAGCTTATATTGATTCTTCTAAGGGTTATTAAATTCATCAGTATCTTTTAGTTATTCTGTAAGCTTCTTCTGCCCCACGTAAATCATCAATTCAATGTGACTCATCAAAGATTGCAGATATGCACGTGTTTTTCCTCCTTTGGTATATCCCTGCTTGCTTCAGAGGTTTTTAATGCATGTGAGCTTGCCTTCATGAATGTTCAGCAGATATAAGAAGGGGTTTTGAATCTGGCTGTTGTTTCTCCCTTCTGTAGATATGCAAAAGCTATAAGGGAGAGGGTCGACAGCAGATTTGTAGCCAGCAGCCACCGTGTGCAAGACTCCACATCTGTGACCACTTCACGCGAGGGAACTGTCGTTTTCCCAACTGCCTCCGGTCCCATAACCTGATGGACAGAAAGGTGCTGGCCATCATGAGGGAGCATGGACTGAGCCCCGACGTGGTCCAGAACATCCAGGACATCTGCAACAGCAAGCACATGCAGAAGAACGCCATGGGGCCCAGAGGTAAAGGCCGTTTGTTTTTCAATTGTGTGAATTTTTTTTTTTTTTTTTTGAGATGAAGTCTCGCTCTGTCACCTAGGCTGGAGTGCAGTGGTGCGATCTCAGCTCACTGCAACCTCTGCCTCCCGGGTTCAAGCAATTCTCCTGCCTCAGCCTTCTGAGTAGCTGGGATTACAGGTGTGAACCATCACACCCAGCTACTTTTTGTATAAATTAGAGACGGGATTTCACCGTGTTTGTCAGGCTGGCCTTGAACTCCTGAGCTAAGGTGATCCGTCTGCCTCAGCCTTTCACAGTTGTGGGATTACAGGTGTGAGCCACTGCACCTGGCCAATTGTGTGAACTTTCAAATCAGCAGAAATAGCAAGGAAAGAAAAGCTTTGCCATAATCACGCTACCTTGCCACATAAAACTCTTCATTTTCCCTTCCAAACTTCATGCATATGCATACATCATTTTACATAATTATTATCATAGCATGCATGCAATGTTCGCCATTCAATTTTTATGCTTAGCTCTGTTGCCCCCTGTCCCCTACCATGTTTAAAAAGCATATATATTGGCCAGGCGCAGTGGCTTCCGCCTGTAATCCCAGAACTTTGGGAGACCGAGGTGGACAGATCACAAGGTCAGGAGTTCGAGACCAGCCTGGCCAATATGGTGAAATCTGTCTCTACTAAAAATACAAAAATTAGCTGGGCGTGGTGGTGGGCACCTGTAATCCCAGCTACTCGGAAGACTGAGGCAGGAGAATCGCTTCAACCCAGGAGGGGGATGTTGCAGTGAGCTGAGGTCGCGCCACTGCACTCAGCCAGGGTGACAGAGCAAGACTCCATCTCAAAAACAACAACAACAACAACAACAACAAAAGTATATCATTTTTCTAAAGGCTAATTAATAAAGCTTTTTTTTAAGGAAAAGAAACAAACATAAAATTGTTTAGATTTACCAGCTGTTAACATTTTGTCCCAATTGCTTTAGCTCTTTCTTTCTCTGTATATCTACATCCAGCTACTCACACACATGGAACATTTTGGTGGTTAAAGCATTTAATATATGCAAATATCATGACATTTTACACCTGAATATATCAGCATGTATCTCCTCAAAACAAGGCCGTTCTCTTACATAATCATAAGACAATTAATACCAAAAATTTATTACTGATGCAAAACTATGTACGATTTAATTTATGGTCCTCAGTGCCATTAAAAAAAATTATATGTATATATATAAATTTCTAAAAAAAAAAAACCACACAATAACTCCCATTCTCTGCTTTCCCCAGCCCCTGGCAACTAACATTCTGCTTTCTGTTTGTATGAATTTGACAACCCTAGGAAACTCACATAAGTGGAATCGTACACTATTTATCCTTTTCTGACTGGCTTATTTCACTGACATGATGTCCTCAGGGTTTATCCATGTTATAGCATATGTCAGAATGAATAATATTTCATCGTATGTATATAATCATATTTTATTTATCCGTTCATCTGTCGATGGACATTTGGGTCACTTCCAGTTTGAATAATGCTGCTATAAATGTGGTGTCCAGATACCACTTTGAGACACTGTTTTCACTTTTTTGGGGTATATAATCAGAAGTAGAATTGCTGAATCATATGGTAATTCTGTGTTTAATTTTTTGAGGAACGATCATACTGTTTTTTGTAGCAGCCATGCCATTTCTCATTTCTGCCGGCAGTGCCCACAGATTCAAATTTCTCATATCCTCTTTATCGTTTTGTGTTTTCTGATTTTCCTAAGGTGTATGAGGTGCTGCTATTACTTTTTGAGATAGTGTCACTCTGTCATCCAGACTGGAGTTTAGTGGTGCGATTTCGGCTCACTGCAATGGCTGCCTCCCGGGTTCAAGTGATTCTCCTACCTCAGTCTCCCAAGTGGCTGGGATTACAGAGTGCATCCCACCATGCCTGGCTAATTTGTGTATTTTTAGTAGAGACAGGGTTTCACCATGTTGGCCAGGCTGGTCTTGAACACCTGACCTCAAGTCCATCCACCTCAGCCTCCCAAAGTGCTGAGATTACAGGTGTGAGCCACTGCACCTGGCCAAGTGCTGCTATTTCTAAAGCATTTTCATATTATATAATAGCATTTATTTTTTATTTTTTATTTTTTATTTTTATTTTTTTTTGAGACGGAATTTTCACTCTTGTTACCCAGGCTGGAGTGCAATGGCGCGATCTCGGCTCACCGCAACTTCCGCCTCTTGGGTTCAGGCAATTCTCCTGCCTCAGCCTCCTGAGTAGCTGGGATTACAGACACGCGCCACCATGCCCAGCTAATTTTTTGTATTTTTAGTAGAGACGGGGTTTCACCGTGTTGACCAGGATGGTCTTGATCTCTCGACCTCGTGATCCACCCGCCTCGGCCTCCCAAAGTGCTGGGATTACAGGCTTGAGCCACCGCGCCCGGCTCAATAGCATTTATTTTTAATGTCATTATGAAAGTGGATGTAGAAAAGGTGAATTTTATGAAGCAGGTAGAATACAGTGTTGTAAGATTCTGTGCAAAGTATTGAACAATTATACCTTCTTATATCTGGAAAATGGTTTATCATTTACAAGGGACTTTCACCCCAAATCAACATCTTGTCATTGTTCCTTACGGTGAAACCACAAAGAAAGGCAGATATATCATTTATTAGCCTTACTTAAGGGGATAAAGAAACTGAGGCTCAGAAATTTTAAGCAACTTTTATTGCAAGCAGCCTCAGATCATAAGAATGAAGGATAACGTAACGAAGAAATAAAAGGTCACATTTTCAAGGCCTCACACCACTAGAAAGTAGCAGAGGCCATGTTCTGATCCCCGTGTCTAATGCTTCTTCTCCCAAGTGGTCTCTAAACAGGGGAGTGTCTGGACGGGGTTTTGGTGTAGTTTCTCAATGCAAACTTATTGTGAGTGAGAAAGATCTGTATATATTTTCACTTCTAGTTCATCTCCTGAGTTAAGCTGTTTCTTGATAGGAGGGTATTTGCTTTTATTACGTTACTGCTGCCCCCTAGGTTTGGAAGAGAAAAAATGTCTCTTCTTACCCCTTCCCTACACACAAAAACACAACTCACACTGTTGTACCCGAGCGAGTCAAGGAATGTGCCACACACTGAGATTGAATTATGAGTCCTTTATTATATTGGCGACCAAGAGGTGGCTAATGCCCCAAATTCTCTCTTCCCCTGAGAAAAAGTTGGGTGGTTTTTTATATCCTAGTTTTAAAAGGGACAGGGAACTTAGCTGAAGCAAATTTTTTACAAAAGCAGAGTAAGCAAAAAAGTTAAAAGATAAACTGGTACATGAGAAATAAAACAGTGCCAGGTTCGAGGGGTAAAGTTGTCATGAAAGACGTAGAACTTACAGATAATGGGGGCTCTGGGCGCTCGACGGCATCTGCATTCCCGGGCTCCGCTGGTACCACTTAACTCGGCCTGTTATCAACAAATGCATTCCTGAGGTGCCCAGTGTCAGCCTGCACCGGCTACATACTACAGTTACATACTTAATGGTGGGAAAATAACTAAAATGAAGAAGCTAAGATGGAGTCTGTCCAGCTCAAGGAGCTAACATAAAGCCTGAACAGCTTTTAGTCTGAGAAAGAGAGAGAGTTAGTTTTAGCTGGCAAAAAGCAGGTTGTCACACCAGCACACACATACACACACACACCCCAAATAAACATCGCATGCATGCGTGCCACACACACACATGAACACACATGTATGCTTCACATTCACACACCACATGTGCCTCAAACACGGACATGCACATCTTCCACATGTACCCCCAGCACACACACACACACACACACACACACACACACACACACACCCCAGATGAACATCACATGCATGCACGCCACACACACATTCCACACACCCTCACAAACACACCCTTCCTCCTTCCTTCCTCCCTGCTTCCAGGAGGATGTGACTCATCAAGTTTCTAGAGAAAGGCCAGTTCCCTCCAGGCTACACTGCTTTGTTGATGTTGACTTCTTATAGGCTTTGGGCCTTGTGGGATGGGATGAAGAAAACTGGAAAAATTTCTAACTGAAACAAAGTTAGGCTTTTAGACTGTGGTTTCATTTTCCATTGGTTTGTTTGAAGCATTGTGAATCTTGTCAATCATCAGGTACACCCATATCACAATAAGGGCAAAATCGAATGCTTTCTGGAAAATCTCTGATTCTCCCCAGTCTATCTCTCCATTCACCGTAGTGGTAGATGTTGACTCAGGATCAGGAGATAGTGGACAGCCCCACCTAAAAGCTTTGGGGTTTGGGAGCTACTTTGAGTCGCCGAAGAGAGCCACGGTCTCACTATCATCCTAGGCCGTGGAATGGTGTGCTCTGCCGTACAGGCAGAATGTCAAGATTCTTTCTTTTTTTTTTTCTTTGAGATGGAGTCTCGCTTTCTCACCAGGTGGGAGTGCAGTGGTGTGAGCCTGGCTCACTGCAACTTCTGTTTTACTATTTCAAGCAATTCTCCTGCCTCAGCCTCTCGAGTAGCTGAGACTACAGGCATGCGCCACCACACCTGGCTAATTTTTTGTATTTTTAGTAGAGACGGGGTTTCACCATGTTGACCAGGATGGTCTCTATCTCTTGACCTTGTGATCTGCCTGCCTCGGCCTCCTAAAGTGCTGGCATTACAGGCATGAGGCACTGTGCCCAGCCAAGATTCTTTCATCGGCTGACACAGTCGGTGAGCATCTGTAATCCCAGCTACTTAGGAGGCTGAGGTGGGAAGATCGCTGGAGCCCAGGAGTTCGAGGTTACAGTGAGCTGTGGTCGGGCCACTGCATTCCAGCCTGGGCAACAGACTGACACTCCATCTCTTTTTTTTTTTTTTTTTTTGAGACAGAGTTTCACTCTTATTACCCAGGCTGGAGTGCAATGGCGCGATCTCGGCTCACCGCAATCTCCGTCTCCTGGGTTCAAGCAATTCTCCTGCCTCAGCCTCCCGAGTAGCTGGGACTACGGGCGTGTACCACCATGCCCAGCTAATTTTTGTATTTTTAGTAGAGACGGGGTTTCACCATGTTGACCAGGATGGTCTCAATCTCTTGACCTCGTGATCCACCCGCCTCGGCCTCCCAAAGTGCTGGGATTACAGGCTTGAGCCACTGGGCCCGGCCTCACTCCATCTCTTAAAAAAAAAAAAAAATCCTGTCATTGTCAAACCACCCATCTTTAAGTTTTTTTTTTTTTTTTTTTTTTTTTTGAGACGGAGTTTCGCTCTTGTTTCCCAGGCTGGGGTGCAATGGCGCGATCTCGGCTCACTGCAACCTCCACCTCCTGGGCTCAGGCAATTCTCCTGCCTCAGCCTCCTAAGTAGCTGGGGTTACAGGCATGCACCACCACGCCCAGCTAGTTTTTTGTATTTTTAGTAGAGACGGGGTTTCACCATGTTGACCAGGATGGTCTCGATCTTTCGACCTCGTGATCCACCCGCCTCGGCCTCCCAAAGTGCTGGGATTACAGGCTTGAGCCACCGCGCCCGGCAAGATTTTTACACATCAGATTAGGTGAAGTAATTTGATCACACTTTGATAGCAAAGGTGGAAAAACAAAGAGAAGGAAGGGTGGTAGGAGCTCAGTCAGGTTAACTCCAATGTTTGTTATTTTGTTTCATTTTGGCTTTTTTCTCCTAGCTCCTGCGCATCGTGGAAACATGGCACATAGGGCTAGAAGCAAAAGTAGAGATCGATTCCTTCACGGAAGCCAAGAATTTCTTGCATCTGCTTCAGCATCTGCTCAGAGGACCTGCACACCTAGTCCAGATCGGATCGGCCACAGGGCTTCCCTGGAGGACGTGCCCGTAGACAATCTCACCTACAAGTTCTCGTATCTGGGGAGTCAGGCTCACACTCGGCTTCCCTCTGGCTCGTCCAAGGCTACCGATCTTGGAGGAGCAAGTCAGGCTGGGGCGAGCAGGGGGTTTTCAGAGAACGGCAGTCTACATGGCATCTTGTACGGGAATCCAGGCGACACTTACCTTGCTTCCGATTCAACACCAGCCCCCAGCTGGAAGGGCCCCACATCCTGGATGAATGACAAGGGCACCGGGAGAGAGTCTGTGTTTTCTCCCACGCTACCTGCCACCCACTCTTCTCTGGGCTGTCTGCAAACACCTGAAACTGTGACCACCAGAAAGGGCGCAGGCTTGCTTTCCTCAGACTACAGGAACATCGATGGCAAAAGTGGAACTCAGGACATGCAGCCTGGCCCTCTTTTTAATAATAATGCCGATGGAGTGGCCAAAGATATAACTTCCACAAGATCCTTAAATTACAAAAGCACAAACAGCGGTCAGAGAGAAATATCATCCCCTAGGAATCAGGACGCTGGACCTGCTTCCCGAGGTCTCCAGACCACTGGCAGAATCACAGATGGTGCTGACCCAAGAGTGGCACTTGTTAACGGTAAATACAGAGGGAAGACACTAGGCTAGTACCTTTGTCCACGATGCGCTGGATGGCTTTAGTAAAGTTGCAGATAAAACTATTGATGTAGGAAAAACGGGTGCCACTGGTTTTGGCTTAACAATGGCAGTCATGGGGGAAAAAGATACGTTACATTTGAAAGTCAGAGTCTGAGAAGCCTGGTCCCCGCCACACTTGGGGAAACGGCTGTCCCTGCACAGGTCAGCACTCTGCCTCAGTCACCTGCTGCTCTTTCCTCAAGCAACAGAGCTGCAGTCTGGGGGGCCCAGGGGCAGAACTGCACCCAGGCTCCTGTTTCCTCTGCCAGTGAGCTCACAAGGAGGACGACAGGCTCTGCTCAGTGTAAGTCACTGAAGGACAAAGAGGCCCCTGTGTCTTGAGTCTGCAGCAGAGTGGCTGTGGCTTGTGGTTTTTCCTTGAATGCTCCCCAGCAGTTTTTTTTTTTTTCTTTTTGAGATGGAGTTTCACTCTTATTGCCCAGGCTGGAGTGCAATGGCGCAATCTCAGCTCACTGCAACCTTCGCCTCCCGGGTTCGAGCGATTCTCCTGCCTCAGCCTCCTGAGTAGCTAGGACTGCAGGCACCTGCCACCATGCCTGGCTAATTTTCTATTTTTAGTAGAGACGGGGTATCTCCATGTTGGTCAGGCTGGTCTTGAACCCCCGACCTCAGGTGATCTTCCTACCTCGGCCTCCCAAAGTGCTGGGATTACAGGCATGAGCCACTGTTCCCGGCTGCTGGCAGTTCTTAAAGGGCATAAAGTCAGAGGGTTTTGGTTAAGGGGTGTTCCGGTCAGGAGACTGACTAGTGAAGACGGGAAAGGACCAACCAGTAGAACCACAGGGAATAAGCTGCCACATTTATTGACAATAGGAATATTTCAGCTATGATTTAAGAAACAAACATAGCTCTCACAGGACTCTGGGGTCCACATTTTTGTTTTATGGAGAAGCTGTCTAGACGCTCATGAGCAACACATAAATCATAGGAATTTTCTTGAACGTGGCCCCCATGTTCAGATATTTCAGATATTCTTTCCCATTGTGAGACCAAGTGCCTTGATTTTTGGTTTAAACATCAAGATCAGTATACACGCATCCTCTTTTGTTTTATAGATTCTTTATCTGATGTCACAAGTACCGCATCTTCTAGGGTGGATGATCATGGCTCAAAGGAAATTTGTCTTGACCATCTATATAAGGGCTGTCCACTTAATGGTGAGTAACCTAAGGATTTTTCTGGAAGCTTCTACCTGTTGGCCATTGTAAATAATGCCACCATGAACATGGGTAGGCAAATGTCTTCTCAAAACCCTGCTTTCAATTCTTTTGGATATATACCCAGAAGTAGAGTTGGGGATCATATAGTGCTTCTGTGTTTAATTTTTTTTTTTTTTTGGAGGAACTGTTTTTCATAGTGGCTATACCATATTTCTTTTTCTTTTCTTTTTTCTTTTTGAGGTGGAGTCTTGCTCTGTCGCCCAGGAGTGCAGTGGCATGATCTTGGCTCATTGCAACCTCTGCCTCCTGGGTTCAAACAATTCTCCTGCCTCAGCCTCCGGAGTAGCTGAGACTACAGGCGCATGCCACCACACCCAGCTAATTTTTTGTAATTTTAGTAGAGACGGGGTTTTACTATGTTGGCCAGGATGGTCTCAATCTCTTGACCTCGTGATCCTCCCGCCTTGGCCTTCCAAAGTGCTGGGATTACAAGGTGTGAGCCATCGTGCCCAGCCCAATTATTTTATTTTTAGTAGAGATAGGATTTCACCATATTGGCTAGGCTGGTCTTGAACTCCTGGCCTGAAGTGATCTGCTTGCCTCAGCCTCCCAAAGTGCTGGTATTGCAGGCGGCAGCCACCACACCCGGCCTGAAATTTTGCTTTCTGATGAATCTCCGCAGTAATGAAGGAACCTGGATAAGGGACACACAGCCGTGCCAGCAGATCTAGACGGGACCTGTCTGGCAGGGGGCAGGGCAGGCATGGATGGGGAAAGCTGGCAGTGAACTTGGCTGAATTGGTTAGAATCCCCACTCAACAGTCCCTCAGACCACCTGTTTTGTTTGTCTTTGTAGGGAGCTGCACCAAAGTCCACTTCCATCTACCTTACCGGTGGCAGATGCTTATTTCAAGAACCTGGACGGACTTCCAGTTCATGGAGCAGATCGAGGAGGCCTACTGTGACCCCCAAATCCACCTGTAAGTTGGTGGCTGTACTCTGGCTTTCAAGATCCCAGCACTATCAGAAGCATTTGTACTAGGCTTAGGGGAAAAAGAGAAATACACTTTTCCATCAGAATCCCATTCGAGTATGAGATACCTCTTGAGATAAAACTGGCAAACGCCTTCCGAGTTAATGAAGGAAAACACAGCGGGGTGAGTTTCAGGTCTACGGAGCCTGGCTAGTGCTAGAGACTGTGGGAATGTTTTCTAACTCCAATGAAATAAACAATGACATGATTACTTATTTAGTTGATAGTTGTCAATGTGTCCGGCAGAAAAAATGCCAAGGCTGGCTTGTATTCTCATCATTTCATCACAGAACTATTAAAAGTACTAATTGATGGCCGGGCGCGGTGGCTCAAGCCTGTAATCCCAGCACTTTGGGAGGCCGAGGCGGGTGGATCATGAGGTCGAGAGATCGAGACCATCCTGGTCAACATGGTGAAACCCCATCTCTACTAAAAATACAAAAAATCAGCTGGGCATGGTGGCACGTGCCTGTAATCCCAGCTACTCAGGAGGCTGAGGCAGGAGAATTGCCTGAACCCAGGAGGCGGAAGTTGCGGTGAGCTGAGATCGTGCCATTGCACTCCAGCCTGGGTAACAAGAGCGAAACTCCGTCTCAAAAAAAAAAAAAAGTACTAATTGATTTAGAACAAAAGAGTCTTTGGCTTAACTTCTTAATTTAAAAACATGATTTGAGTAATTTTATATAGTTCTAGTGTCAAAGTTTGTTGCATACTTTAGCATTTAATACCTTCCTTATGTTTGCTGTGTTCTCCAGCCTGGAGGTATCTAAGAGGGTACCTTCCATTTTTACTTCTGGCTGAGTGTGGTGGCTCATCCTATAATCCTAGCACTTTGGGAGGCTGAGGCAGGAGGATGACTTGAGCTCAGGAATTCGAGATCAGCCTGGGCAATGTGATGAAACCCTGTCTCTACCAACAATACAAAAACTAGGCAGGCATGGTAGCACACGCCTGTGGTCCCAGCTACTGGGGAGGCTGGTGTGAGAGGATCACTGGAGCCTAAGAATTTGAGGCTGCATTGAGCCGTGATCATGCCACCACACTCCAGCCTGGGTGACAGAGTGAGAGCCTGTCTCAAAAATAAATAAGTAAAAACATTTCTCCTTCTGGAAGAGCTGAAATGGGTGATAGCCATGTGACCATATTTATCTATGGTGTGCAGGGACATAAGAAATATCCCAATTTTACAAGGAAATTCTTTAGGGGGAAAAGTTACATTACTTTATATGAGAATTTAGTGATTTGGGGTGGAGATTCTGTGTTGCTGCATTTTTACCACTAGAGGGTGACAGCCACTTTCTTGTTGCTGGATCTATAGTTCCTCCCTCAGGCAAGTGTAGAGCTGGTTTTCTCAACCTCAGCACTACTGACCTTTTGGGCCAGATATTTGCTGTCAGGGCTGTTTAGCACTATTCCGAGCCTCTATCCACAGGTGCCAGGAAGCACCACCCCTCCACCAGCCCCTCTGGTTGTGATAACCCAGTATGTCTTCAGATATTGTCAAATTTCCTCTGAGGTCAAAATCATTACTGATTGAGAACCGCTGATCTAAGAGGTCTTTCTAAGAGCAGAAATTCTCAAACTTCTGGTCAGAGGACTTCTCAACACTTAAAACGTATTGAGGATCCCTGGCCAGGCGCCTTGGCCCACACTTGTAATCCCAGAATTTTGGGAGGCCAAGGCAGGTGGATCACGAGGTCAGGGGTTCAAGACCAGCCAGGCCAAGATGATGAAACCCTGTCTCTACTAAAAATACAAAAATTAGCTGGGCATGGTGGCGTGCGCCTATAATCTCAGCTCAGGAGACTGAGGCAGGGAATTGCTTGAACCTGGGAGGTGGAGGTTGCAGTGAGCTGAGATCGTGCCACTGCACTCTAGCCTGGGTCTCAGTCTCAAAAAAAAAAAAAAGAAAAATGTGTTGAGGATCCCAAAGAATTTCTGGTTATGTGGAATATAGCTTTCAATATTTACCATATTAAAAATGAAAACTGAGAACAATTATATATTTGAGTCACTTAAAAATAAGAGGCCGCTGGGCGCGGTGGCTCATGCCTGTAATCCTAGCACTTTGGGAGGCCGAGGTGGGTGGATCACGAGGTCAAGAGATCGAGACCATCCTGGTCAACATGGTGAAACCCCGTCTCTACTAAAAATACAAAAAATTAGCTGGGCATGGTGGCGCGTGCCTGTAATCCCAGCTACTCAGGAGGCTGAGGCAGGAGAATTGCCTGAACCCAGGAGGCGGAGGTTGTGGTGAGCCAAGATCGCGCCATTGCACTCCAGCCTGGGTAACAAGAGCAAAACTCCATCTCACACACACACAAATAATACTAGTAATAAAAATAAGTGGCCGAGCACAGTGGCTCGCAGCTGCAATCCCAGAACTTTGGGCGGTCGAGGCAGGCAGATCACCTCAAGTCGGGAGTTTGAGATCAGCTTGACTAACATGGAGAAACCCCATCTCTACTAAAAATACAAAATTAGCCAGCTGTGGTGTTGCATGCCTGTAATTCCAGCTACTCAGGAGGCTGAGGCAGGGGAATCGCTTGAACCCGGGAGGTTGAGGTTGCAGTGAGCCAAGATTGCACCAGCCTGGGCAACAGGAGCAAAACTCTGGCTCAAAAAAAAGAAATAATAAGAATAATAAGCTTGATGTACGTTAACATAATGAACATATTTTATATAACTATATTTATGCTATATACATATTCATATATATCCATTTACTATACATACCCAGGTATATAACTATATTTGTTTATATATGCATATATAGTATTTATATGGATAATTATAAAATAACTGTTTTCCAAAACAATTTATTGAGAAGGGTTTTATATTTTTGCAAATTTCTTTAATGTCTGGCATAATAGAAGATAACTAGATTCTCATACCTGCTTCTGTATTCAATCTGCTGTGAAATCATACATTGCGTAGCCTCTGGAAAATTTATTCATGTGTTCATGAGCGAATGAAAGTGAAAGAAGGAAATAAGGTTTAATGTTATGATGAAAATAACTTTAACCTTGCCAATTTTCTGCAAGGGTCTCCACATTTTGATAACGATTTCAATAATATAAATAATTTAAGAAATTAATCAAATGTGAGTTTCTAACTTACTTTCTAACATCGAGCCAATCAGGAATTTTGTGGGCACGGGTTTATTTTGGGATATTTTCTGAGGGAAGAATATGCTTGGTGATGCCCTTAAATATGTGGTGCAGAAAAGTCACTTTTCTCTCTGCGTTTCCGTTTTTCTTTTATGTGTAGGACCTGGAGCTACAGAAAGAAAACTTGAAGATCTATTTTCGCTCTAAAAATTTAATTCTGCACTCTCATTAGGGAAGACGAGATTGTAGAAAACAGAGGTCAGTGAAACATTATGTTAACTTAATACTTTTCTCTCTCAGCTGTTCTGTAGGAAGTTATACAATCAATTTTCGGGAAATGACTTGTGGTTCCAATCGCATCCAACGCCTTTCCACTCCTTCTTCTGTCACGAAGCCAGCCAATCTTGTTTTCACCACCAAATGGATCTGGTATTGGAAGAATGAATCTGGCACATGGATTCAGTATGGAGAAGAGGTGAGTACTGTTCCTCCTTGTGGGGGAGGCCCTTGTTTAAAATTGCCAACTTAAAAAGAACACTCTTGGCTGGATGTGGTGGCTCATGCCTGTAATCCCAGCACTTTGGGAGGCTGAGGTGGGCGGATCACCTGAGGTCAGGAGTTTGAGACTAGCCTGGCCAACGTGGCGAAACTCCATCTTTACTAAAAATACAAAAATTCGCCGGTCGTGGTGGCAGGTGCCTGTAATCCCAGCTACTCGGGAGGCTGAGGGAGGAGAATCTCTTGAACCTGGGAGGTGGAGGTTGTAGTGAGCTGAGATTGCACCTCTGTACTTCAGCCTGGGAAATAGAGTGAGACTGTCGCCAAAATAAATAAATAAAATGAAATAAAATAAAAAAGAACACCATTAATAAAATGTTTGAAGGCTACGTGTTTACCCATGAAGTGTGGTTACAGGAAGTGGTATTTTTTTTACTTTGTACACAGCCATATTCAGGTTTTTTTCAGCAAGCATGCACTCCAATTATAATCATACATTAAAGCATATATTCATTTTTATTATTATTTTTTGAGACGGAGTTTCGCTCTTGTCATCCAGGCTGGAGTGCAATGGCGCGATCTCGGCTCACTGCAACCTCCGCCTCCTGGGTTCAAGCAATTCTCCTGCCTCAGTCTCTTGAGTAGCTGGGATTACAGGCATGCACCACCACGCCCAGCTAATTTTTGTATTTCTACTACATGTGGGGTTTCACCATGTTGGACAGGCTGGTTTTGAACTCTTTACCTCAGGTGATCTACCTACCTCGGCCTCCCAAAGTGTTGGGATTAGAGGTGTGAGCCACTGTGCCCTGCCATAGATTAATTATTTTTAAGGAACTCTTTGAGACATGTCAGCTGTACATCCGCCATTTCTCACCACCAGAGGAGACGGGGGAACCTTGACGTAGCTTTCTATGTATAAACACATAAATGTAGAGAGACTATTGCTTTGAGCTGGAAAAGAGGGTGAGAGTGAGACCTTGAATGACCATATGGATGTTGGCATGGTTAATTATACCAGGGGATGTGTTAATTCACTCAAGCAATGAAACCACATCTGGTACAGATAGTCACTAGTATTCAATCAGAGTCTGGATTTAGATGGACTTAAAAGACTGGAACTAGAAGATTCCAGGCTGACCCATAGTGGGAGCATAGAAATAGGGATGGAAGTTTAGATAAGCAGAGCTTCTGTCCCTCTGTCTCAGTGTCCCTTCCTCCCTTCAACTCACAGGATTAAAGAGTGAGAGAAACAGACCTTAAAGTAGGTAATGAAATCAGAGTGATGAGAAACAGAAAATGAAAGCAAGAGATTCAAATGAAGCCAAAGATAATGCAGGGGTCGGGGTGGGGGGTGGATCACCTGAAGTCAGGAGTTCGAGACCAGCCTGGCCAACATGGTGAAACCCCATTTTTCCTAAAAATGCAAAAACTTAGCCAGGCTAGGTGGTGGGCGCCTGTAATCCCAGCTACTCGGGAGGCTGAGGCAGGAGAATCGCTTGAACCCGGGAGATGGAGGTTGCAGCAAGCTGAGATCGCACCACTGCCCTTCGGCTTGGGTGACAGAGTGAGACTCACCGTCTCAAAAAAAAGAAAGATGTCCTCCCTATACCAGAATGAAAGCGGCCTTCGTGTCATCAAGGACAAGAAACCTGTATAAACAAACCCTATCACACAAGTCTTTATCCTCCTGGATCTGTCTCCACCCAGTGAACTTCCCTAGTCCAAGCCTCTTTGCCTCATCCCATTTTTATAATTTATGACTCTTTGTCTAATTCAGTACAAGGGTTCATCTCTGACCACAGCTTTAGTCTTCACTTTCTTAGGAAGGCTCCTGTGCCACATAAAACTTGCATTAAATAAATGTGATGCTGTTCTCCTGTTGGCCTGTCTTTTTGTATATAAATTTATGGAGTACAAATGTTATTTTGTTACAGGCATAGATTACCTGGTAGTAAAGTGAGGGTTTTTAGGGTATCATCACCTGAATAATGCGCATTGTACCCATTAAGTAATCTACTCCTGTCCCAACCTGCCCTATCCTTCTAAATCTCCATTGCTTCTCTTTCCTATTGTGGTCTTACATCAGTGTAATGCTCGGGTCCAGCCAAAACACTGTAAATGGGAAGAGGTGAAATTGTGCTTTCCCAGCAGGGCACAGTAGCTCATGGCTATAATCCGAGCACTTTGAAAGACTGAGGCAGATGGATCACCTGAGGTCGGGAGTTTGAGACCAGCCTGATCAATATAGTGAAACCTGCGTCTCTACTAAAAATACAAAAATTAGCTGGGCTGTGATGATGTATGCCTATAATCCCAGCTATTCAGGAGGCTGAAGTGGGAGAATACCTTGAACCCAGGAGACAGAGGTTGCAATGAGCCGAGATCATGCCACTGCACTGCAACCTGGGCAGCAGAGGGATACCCTGTCAAAAAGAAAAGAAAAGAAAAGAAAAGGAGACTCTGAGAGACCTGAGAGAGAGAGAGAGAGAGAGAAAGAGAGAGAGGAGAGCCTGTAAGAGAAAGAAGGAGACCCTGTCAAAAACAAAGAGAGAAAGAAAGAAGGAAGGAAGAAAGAAAGAAAAAGAAAGAGGGAAGACGGTCAAAAATAAAAAAAAAAGAAAAAGCAAGCAAGAAAGAGAAATTTTGCTTCCCCTACATACATATCATATAGGACAGCACAGAGAACATTTTCATCACCACAGAATGTTCTAGTGAACAGCGTTGGTCTAGACCTTAGAGCCTTCCTAGTCAAAGCGAGGTCCACAGACCAGAAGCATCAGCCTCAGCATCATGCAGGAGCTGGCTGAAGTACAGAATCTAAATCGCCCCGACTTTCCCGGCATCATATCTGCAGTTGATCCCTGGGGCGCTGGCGTGTGTGTCAAAGTTCGAAAGTCTCTGGCCTTTTAAGCCAGGAACAGGGTGGGTTCTACAGAGCTGAGCAGTCAGTGGATGGATACAGGACTTCAGCTGTAGGGATAGGAAATTGGGAAGTGATTCAGCTAGTGGTCAAACCAGGGGATACCAAGGTACCAGAGCTGCTCCACCCGTCCTGCATTGTGCCAGAGGTGTTTTGCCCACTTGGGCCAGAGGAAGGCATACAGTTCACCAGGCATCATCAAGTCGTGGCAACAATCTCTTTTACAATCATCCTGATAAATACTATCTACAAAGCTATGGCAGCAAGCGTCTTCATGATATGACTTAGTTGTTGGTTGCTGTCGGTTAGAACATTCTGCTAAAGTCGGCCGGGCGCAGTGGCTCAAGCCTGTAATCCCAGCACTTTGGGAGGCCGAGGCGGGTGGATCACGAGGTCAAAAGATCGAGACCATCCTGATCAACATGGTGAAACCCCGTCTCTACTAAAAATACAAAAAAATTAGCTGGGCATGGTGGCGTGTGCCTGTAATCCCAGCTACTCAGGAGGCTGAGGCAGGAGAATTGCCTGAACCCAGGAGGTGGAGGTTGCGGTGAGCCGAGATCGCGCCATTGCACTCTAGCCTGGGTAACAAGAGCGAAACTCCATCTCAAAAAAAAAAAAAAAGAACATTCTGCTAAAGTCGGCGTCCTTGTTGTCCCTTCCACCCTTTGTACTGGTCCTCCCTCCTGAAACACATTCAGGTTGATTTCCACTTTGCCCTGCGTGCAAATATTTGAACACTGCTTTCTGCTGTAACCATGCTCCACTCCGGCTAAAGAGACCCAGCTCAGGCCTTTCTCTGTCCAGGACGTTTTTCTTGGACACTCATTCTGTTGCCTTCCCCTTACATTCAGCAGACATTTCCATTAGGGAAGGGTAAGGGGCATGGGTCTAGCTAAAAGCCAAAGAGTCTGGAATGTCATAATAAAAAAGGAACCGTGAGCTGCCAAGTGTCTCTTCACCATTAAATACTGAGAACCCCTCCTGCTAGGAGCACACATCTAGTTTGCCTTGGTCGGGCACCCCTGTGCCCTTGCTAAAATCAACTCATTTCCCTTGTACCTATCCATTCTGATATTTGCATGCTTTATCACATGCGTTGAGACTAGAGATTATAGGTTTACATTTTGGGGTGATGCCTCATCCCTTTCCTTATCGCTCCAGTCAGTGGCAAATCCAAGAGCATTTTCAGTGCAGTTGGCTAGCAGAAGACTTTGCCAGTTTTGTTTACTTACTCTGGTTCAGGGCAGAGGAGAGGTTATTTGTATTTGAACACCGCTCCTTCTGGAGTTTAGACGAGGAGCAGACGATCTTTCTTCACTTCACGACAGCTGTAAACTGTGCATAGCTAGACTAGCCCGCGATGTTCTGTTTCAGGCAGAAGTCGGTGTCAGATTCTGTTAAATGACAGATGCTGATGTGGCATCACAAAAAGGCGGATGCAAGTTGCTCTGTACATTTGGCTCGTATTTTATGGAAGGTTGTAAAAGATATTGCAAAAAGCTACAGTTTTCTGGCATCCCCCAAGCATGTAGTCAGTTTCTGCAGGATAGACCGCTGTCTCTTAGGTGCCATAATAGAGAAGACCACAGAAGTTTGTGACATAGCCCTGTACTGGACGTTCTTACAATCTGGTTTGGGAAGCAGAATGCACTCCTGTTCACATCCCATTGCTAAAATGAAATCCTTTAACAGTAGGGATTTCCTGAAAACTCCTGAACTCTTTACCTTTTATTTTTTTTTTCAATTTAGAAAGACAATCAGAAAAGTTCAAGCATCGACTCTTCCTACCTGGAGGCTTTCTATCAATCCTGTCCGAGGGGAGTTGTGCCATTTCAGGCGGGCTCACGGAACTATGAGCTGAGTTTCCAAGGTAAGTTTCTGTGTTTGGCAGTGTTGTGTGTCATGGGAAACCGCCTGCAGTGTACATGTGGGAGGGGGAGCAGAGTGGGTATGTATTGCTATGGCCAAGGTCAAGGTCAAGATTTAGCAAGGTGGTAGAGTGCAAGCCGGTGGCCATCAGAAGACCTGTGTTATAGAGCTCTGGCTCTGATAAACACTTGCTCTGCTGCCCTGGGAGGGGCACCTGGCCTATGTAGGCCCACTTCTCTCAACCGCAAAATCAGGGGCTTACACTAAGTTGTCTCGGGGGTGCTTCCAGCTCTCCCATGCTGTTTCTGATTCTGGGGAGGGCAGCTGCCTAGGCAGAGGCAAAATTTCAGACCTTGGGCTTTTGGGCACCTTCAGAGTTTTAGAAACTTGCTGTTTCTTTTAGGCTTTATCATCCAGGTCAGTGGTTTCATCATCACATTGATTAAAGTACTTTGCCTTCTACTATGTTTATTGGAGGTACCGTAGAAAGGTCTTCTGCTTAGCTGCCGCCAGTCTACCTGCTGTGTTTAGTTAGGTATCAGGGCAGGAACTGCCCTCTTCTGAAGGTACTGTCCCATCGGGCACACCCTAGGACACCACCTGCACATGATCAGGGACTTGCTCTTTCGGGACTTGCAGGTGCTTTAGAAGAGGTAAAGGAGCCTTTCTAAGGTCCCTGAATTCCCAGAGGGTACCTGTAGTTGGGTCATGTATCACTTAGTGTGCATTAGGTGATGTAGCTTTTACAAGGACCATTATACCAAGTATTCGGGAAAACAGCCTGGCAGTACCAGTGCCATTAACATTTGCTAATACGCTTGTCTTTTCATTCCCCCAGGAACCTTTCTTAGGAAATAATTCACTAGAAGAAGGGGGAAGAAAGCTGTAGGCATAAAGTAAGGTGCTTGTTCACCAGCATGCTGTAACCAACAGAATGGTAGACAAATACCAGTGCCCATGGTACTAAAAGCGGACTGGTCTGTGCACCAGTACAGCAGTGACCACATAAATCGGGGTCCTAAATTTGAGTGGTATATTTGGCACTTGTTAAAGATTTGGATTATGAAAACTAGATAGGAAAAGCAAAATTTGATATTGCTAAATGAAAAAGGCAGAACACTTTTTTTTTTTTTGAGAGGGAGTCTCCCACTGTTGCCTGGGGCTAGAGTGCACAATCTCGGCTCACTGCAGCCTCCACCTCCCACGTTCCCAGGTTGAAGCGATTCTCCTTGCCTCAGCCACCCAAGTAGCTGGGATTACAGGCACAAGCCACCATGTCCAGCTAATAGTAGAGGCTGGGGGATTTCACTATGTTGGCTGGGCTGGTCTGGAACTCATGACCTCGTGATCTGCCCGCCTTGGCTTCCCAAAGTGCTAGGATTACAGGAGTGAGCCATAGCACCTGGCTGTTTTTTATTTTTATTTTTTGAGACAGGGTCCCACTCTGTCACTCAGGCGCCATTATGGCTCACTGCAGCCTCAACCTCCCCAGCTCGAGAGATCCTCTCACCTCCGCCTCCCAACTAACTGGGACTACAGGTGCATGCCACCATGCCCAGCTAATTTTTAAATTTTTTGTAAAGACATGGGTCTTACTATGTTGCCCAGGCTGATCTTGAACTCCTGAGCTCAAGTGATCTTCCCACCTCAACCTCCCAAAATGTTGAGATTACAGGCATGAGCCACACTGCTCAGCCAGAACCCCAAATTTATGTTTCTGCATTTTCCTGTTTATATTTAAAATAGAAAAGATTTTTTCTAAAAATCAATGTGCATGATAATTGCTGCAATGCGTGAATATGGGCCAAGACTGGAAGATAATAGTGAGAAATTAAGGCCGGGCGCGGTGGCTCAAGCCTGTAATCCCAGCACTTTGGGAGGCCGAGGCGGGCGGATCACGAGTTCGAGATATCGAGACCATCCTGGTCAACATGGTGAAACCCCATCTCTACTAAAAATACAAAAAATTAGCTGGGCGTGGTGGCGCGTGCCTGTAATCCCAGCTACTCAGGAGGCTGAGGCAGGAGAATTGCCTGAACCCAGGAGGCGGAGGTTGCGGTGAGCCGAGATCGCGCCATTGCACTCCAACCTGGGTAAGAGCGAAACTCCGTGTTAAAAAAAAAAAAAAAAAAAAAAAAATTAAAATCTCTTCTATTGGGTGGTAGAATTAAAAATTACTTAAATTCTGCCAGGCGCGGTGGCTCACACCTCTAATCCCAGCACTTTGGGAGGCCGAGGTGGGTGGATCACCTGAGGACCAGCCTGGCCATCATGGTGAAACCCCATCTTTGTAAAATAAAATAAATAAAATAAAATAAATATATAAAAAACAAACCAAAAAAAGACTTAAATTCTAAAGAAATTCTTAGGTGATATTATATTGTTTTTACGGGTTAAAAGGGTGGTGCAGAGGTGAGAGCCAATAGGCTTTGTTCCTGGTCTAGAGCAATTTGTCCAGTCACTTCTGTTTGTTTGGTTCATAGAAATCAGTTCAGAGCAGTTTGTAGTGTTCTGGATGGCTTTTTCCCTCCCTTCCTTTCCTTTTTTTCTTTCCCTCTTTCCTTCCTTCCTTCCCTTCCTTTTCTTCCTCCCTCCCTCCTTCTTTTCTTTTCTTTCTTTCCCTCTTTCTTTTCTTTTATTTCTTTCTCTTTCTTTTCTTTTCTTTCTGCTCACGCAACTCCCGCCTCTGAGGTTCAAGAGATTCTCCTGCCTCAGCCTCCCAAGTAGCTGGGATTACAGGCACGCACCACCACGCATGACTAATTTTGTATTTTTGGTAGAGACGGGGTTTCTCCATGTTGGTCAGGCTGGTCTCAAACCCCTGACCTCAGATGATCTGCCCGCCTTGGCCTCCCGAAGTGCCGGGATTACAGGCGTGAGCCACCGCACCTGGCCATGGCCTTTTCTATTTCTTAACTAGATTGCAAGAGTATTCTGTGATGCATGAAACTAGTATCTGAGTGCCAGCTGTGTACTGGCCACTGCCGTAGGGGCTGGGATACAGTGATGAGGTTGCTCTTCCAGCCGATATTCAAGAGGGTGGTGAGAGGCAAGGATCAGGTAAACAACTCAGGCCATTTCAGAAAGCAGTAACAGTTACTGAGAAAATGAACAGAGCCAGGAAGCCGCCAGAGAACGGAGGAGTCAGTGGGACAGCACTTACTTTTATGGAGCAGCCTCTGCCTGGGGGAAGGGGGGCGCTCCAGGAGAAGGAAGAACGAAGGCCAAGGCTGGAAGGTACAGACCAGCTTGAAGTTTCACAGAACAGGTAGATGGTCTGTAAGAGATGAGAGCAGAGATAGAAACTTGGCTGTTTTATTAGACAGAAGCCCTGGGAAGACTTTGAGCAGTGTTGTGGTATGATCTGATTTGCTTTTTTTGTGGTTTATGTTTGTTTTGTATTTTAAGTGTGCAGTTGGATGAGTATTGACAAATGCATATAACCGCCATCCTAAGCAGGTTATAGAACATTTCCGTCAATCCCAAAAGTTTCTTCCTGTCTCTGCAGTCAGTCTCCCAAGCCACACCACGCACCCCCGCTGTGTTCTCCTCACAGACTATTGCCGATTGCTTTCTGTCCCTATAAATTAGTTTGACCTGTTCTAGAACTTCGTATTAATCAATGCTTGCAGTAGGCACATTGCATGTGGCTGACTTCTTTCACCCCGAATGTTTTTTAGGTTCATCCACCTTGTTCTTCCCCTTCCATTACTGAGTCACATCCATTGTAAGGTGATTCCATGATTTATTCTTTTACCAGCTGATGGATATTTAGGTTATTTCTGCTTTTTTGTTATTATAATAATGTGGCTGTGAACATTCATATGCATGCCTTTGCATGGATATAGGTTTTCATTTCTCTTTAAATACCCAGGCATGGTATTGCTAAATCATATAGGAGTGCATGTTTAACTGTATAAGAAACCACTAAACTATTTTCCGATGTGGTGGTTCCATTTTAAACTCTCACTAACAATGGATTATGATTTACTTCTGAAAGGGATCACTCTGGTTGCAATTTGGACTGAAGTTTACAACATGAATTGAAAACGGTATTTCACACCTGATGTAGGAAAAAACCCTTAAAGACAGCTACCAGATTCCAGCCCATAATCACTGATATCTGGTGCAGGGAAGCTTACAAGGGTGGTGTCTGGTTATTTGGCTCCCCCAGCTCTCCTCCTTTACCATCCAACTTGGATTTAAAGATTAGATTAATTCATGGATATTCATTTACTCCTTTGCTTCCTGAGCCTTCTACTAATGGCAGTGAAGAATACAAGTCTTTTACTATCAACAATTCTCATCCCAAAGGATTTGCTCTATTTTTATACATACAGGTCAGTCTTGAATGTTTGCTGTGTAAATAGCCTCTGCAAAATAACAAGAAGTCATTTTCTCGGACTGACCTTGATTCTCACTGCTTTTATGTTTTTCTGTCCAAAGGGATGATTCAGACAAACGTAGCTTCCAAAACTCAAAAGGATGTCATCAGAAGACCAAAATTTGTGTCTCTGTGGGAAATGAAGCAGATGAAAAGGGGAACAGAGTAAGTGTTCTGAAGGAGCGATTTGCTGATGTGTGCTTGAGATGCTTGTCCTGGGCTCATGGAGTCACTCGTGAATCTGGAGTGTATTTTCCTGAAAAGTTCCAGCTTGCATTACTCTGCAATTTCCATTTGCATTATCCATGAGTAAGATGCTTGTTAAGCAGTATGGTGTGATTGAAAAGGATACAGATCCGAAAACAAGTTTTCTTTCTAACTTACAGGGGAGTCTGAGCAAGTCTCTTAAATACTCTGAGCTTTAGCTTCTCCTGCTATGAAAAGCTAGATTGATGCGGTGCGCCTGAGGAGTTATCACATGCACGGGGTTTTTGTTTTGCTGTGGATTCTTTTTTTTAAGAAATGGTGTCTCACTTTGTTGCCCAGTCTGGTCTCCAACTCCCAAGCTCAAGTGATCCTCCTACCTCAGCCTTCCAAATTGCTGGGATTGCAGACATGAGCCACTGTGCCTGGCTTCGCTGTGGATTCTTTTGTGTGTCTTCTTTAGTTTTGCTACACGATTTACAGAGAATGAGAGGTGGAGAAAGATAGGAAAAAGGGGTGGAGTAGCTGTTAGAGGAAGGGCTTCAGAGAGAGAGAAAGCTGATCGGAGGGATTTTAAAGGAGATGCTGTGGAGCAGAGGTCCCCAAACTATGGCCCACGGGCTGCATGCGGCCCCCTGAGGCCATTTATCTGGCCCCTGCCTGCACTTCAGGAAGGGGCACCTCTTTCACTGGTGGTCAGTGAGAGGAGTACTGTATGTGGCGGCACCGCAAAGCAGCGATGTTCGCTCATGTACAGCACTACTTCTGGTGATGCGGGACACATGCATCACGGCTCCAGAAGTGCATCACATGACGCACATCCGGTCTGCGGCTGCGGTGCCCCACATCACCGGAAGCAGCGTGAAATAACAGCAGAAGTAGGAAGAAAGGCAAAGCACTATAACCATTACTACACAGTACAGTGGCCCCCACACTCCCCCAAATGTACAACAACATAATGGCCCCTATAACCTCCCTTTGCCCAAGAGTCTCCCCCCACATTACTACACACCGTGTTTCCACTATTATAAGACCCTGTCTTATATTAATTTTACCCCCAAAAGATGGGGGCCGTCTTATTTTTAGGAGGTGTCTTATAATAGGGGAAACATGCAGCAGTGGGCTTCCCACAGAAGAGGCCCACCACTGCTGCAGATGTCCAGGATGCTGTATACACAGTGTCACAGGCTGATCACCGCCATCCCTGTATACAGCACTGGAGGCGGTGCTGGGCCTGTGACACTGTATACCGCTGTCTGGGATAGTGGAGGCAGCAGCACTGGCTGTGAAGGGTGTCACACCTTGCATAGTCCAGCCCTCCAACAGTCTGAGGGACAGCGAACTGGCCCCCTGTGTAAAAAGTTGGGGACCCTTGCTGTAGAGGCTTCGTTGTAACTCTCCTTGTGAATTGCTCAGTAGACTCTATGTTGTTCATGAACATTTTTGGAGTTGGATTTTTTTTTTTTCTGGGTGATGTGTGAGTATATAAACCAGGCTTCAAGGCAAGTATAAAATCAAGGTGTTCTAACTAGGTTCTTTTGGTTGTAAGAATTCAAGCTATTTGATGAAAAAAGGAACTTACTAAAAAGATAAATAACTTTGAGGTCATATGGAAAACAACTCGCAAGAATCTAAGAATGGAAACTGAGCTACATCAGGGCCTCAGGAAGGGGAGTTGCTTCCAATTCTGCTTTAGAACTGGAGCAGCCTAGAATCAAAGATCCTTTCTGGGTACCAGGTTAACAGCCTGGACTCTGGATCTAGCTCACCTGAGTTCAAATTCCACCCTGTCACCCATTAGCTGTGTGGATTTGGACAAATGAATGACTCTGTATATCCTCATCTATAAAATGGGCTTAATAATAATACCTTCCTCACGGTTGCTTGGGTAACATATTCCAAACACTCATCAGGTGTTCAGTAAATGCTAACTGCTCTGGTTATTATTATTTTTATTCCCCTGCTATTAAAAGACTTAGTAACTATATATTTAATTAAGTTGACTTAATTCTAATTCATAATCCCAACCTGCATATCCCTTCAGCCTTATCTTTTGCCACTAACTGCCTAATTTTCTCTGAATTTCTCAAGTTGATTTCCCAAGAATTAGAATCTGATTGGTATAGCTATCTAAAGTCCCTTCCAGTTATTTATTTATTTATTTATTTATTTTGAGACGGAGTTTCGCTCTCGTTACCCAGGCTGGAGTGCAATGGCGCAATCTCGGCTCACCGCAACCTCTGCCTCCTGGGCTCAGGCAATTCTCCTGCCTCAGCCTCCTAAGTAGCTGGGATTACAGGCACGCGCCACCATGCCCAGCTAGTTTTTTGTATTTTTAATAGAGACGGGGTTTCACTATGTTGACCAGGATGGTCTCGATCTCTCGACCTCGTGATCCACCCGCCTCGGCCTCCCAAAGTGCTGGGATTACAGGCTGAGCCACCGTGCCCGGCCCAGTTATTTATTTATTTATTTATTTATTTATTTATTTAAGACAAAGTCTCACTCTGTTGCCCAGGTTGGAGTGCAGTGGCACGGTCTTGGCTCACTGCAACCTCTGCCTCCCAGTTGAAGTGATTCTCATGCCTCAGCCTCCTGAGTAGCTGGGACTATAGGTGCAAGCTACTACGCCCAGCTAATTTTTGTATTTTTCGTAGAGATGGTGTTTCACCATGACGGCCAGGCTGATCTTGAACTCTTGACCTCAGGTGATCTGCCCGCCTCAACCTCCCTAAGTGTTGGGATGACAGGCGTCAGCCACTGCACCTGGCCCCTTCCCCTTACTTTATCACTAAATTAATAAAGAAGAATATTTCAGGATTTAGGGGAGAGAGGAGTAAAGCCCATGCCCTCACAGAGCTTATATTCTGGTGGATGAGGCAGTAACTATGTCAGTTCCTGACAAGTGTTAGGAGGGGGAAAAAGGCAGAGTAGGAGGGCGGAGAGAGGCTGTTCACATTCAGCTGATGAATGAGATCATCAGAGCTGCTTTTCATTCATTAGAATGGTTCTGGCAGGATATCTTCACAAAAGTACGTTTGAACTGTATTGCCTTAAAGCAACAAAATTGTCTATTTTCTTTTTTAATAAGGTCCAGTAATTTTTTAACAATTCAGATACTCCCAGTTAGTCTCAACTCGTGAGACCATACTTTATGGCCCTTCTGGACAGCAGGAACTATGGAAAATATAGAGACCTCGACTCCAAACTGGATGGTTCTTTCTGTGCACATGTATTTCGAGGGGAAAAAATTGGTTTGTGGCATTTCCAGAAAGCTCCTGTAGTTAGCCATTGTCAGTCTCGATGGCTTCCATAGGTCAGAGTTGCTTCATGCTTTTCCATTTGCTCTTCCTGTCTCCAGGAATACTCTTTCCCATCATTCACGTGAATCCAGCATGCCTCATGATTTAGCTGGAGTGGCACTTTCCGATTCTAACATTCCTTGTGACTCTCCTCCAATTCTCCTGTGCCCTCCAGGAACACTGGAGATTCCATTATAGTTGTTACCCATTTCTACCTTGTAATAGTTATTCGTGTAAATGTCATCTCGAGCATGAGCACAACCTTCCCTCCTCCTCCCTTCCCCCTCTCTCCCCACCAACCCCAATTATCAGCTCCTCAGAGCTCTTGAAATATTTTGGTATTTTTTGTTGTTGTTTGTTTTTCTTGGTTGCTAGGGTGCAATGGCACGATCACAGCTCTCACTGCAGCCTCAACCTCCCGGGCTCAGGTGATCCTTCCACTGCAGCCACCTGAGTAATTAGGACTATAGACGCACACCACCACACCTGGCTAATTTTTGTATTTTTTTTAATAGACACAGGTTTTGCCATGTTGCCCAGGCTGTCTTAGAATATTTTGTATAATGCATGGCACATAGTGATAATAAATAGCCAGTATGAGTAAAAAATAAAATCAATTAAGGAATACATGTTAGTGGGTTGGGGGGAGGGAGTCATGCAGAGAACCCGCTTTAATCCTGCTCTCTCACTAGCCCAAGGAGACACACTTGGTGTGGGATGGAATAACGGCTGGGGTACTATCCTGAACTGCAGTGGGATATAGAAATGAACTATAGCACAGTCACTATTCATGGGCATCTTATAACATATTCATTCAATTTATCCTGTGTTATACAAATCCAGAATGGAAACCTGAGCTTAAAATAGAGATAAATTGGGGCCAGTCTTTCTCATTGTAAGGCGTCTTCTTTTTTTTTTTTTTTAAGACGGAGTTTCGCTCTTGTTACCCAGGCTGGAGTGCAATGGCGCAATCTCGGCTCACCGCAACCTCCGCCTCCTGGGTTCAGGCAATTCTCCTGCCTCAGCCTCCTGAGTAGCTGGGATTACAGGCCCGCGCCACCATGCCCAGCTAACTTTTTGTATTTTTAGTAGAGACGGGGTTTCACCATGTCGACCAGGATGGTCTCGATCTCTTGACCTCGTGATCCACCCGCCTCGACCTCCCAAAGTGCTGGGATTACAGGCTTGAGCCACCGCGCCCGGCAAGGCGTCTTCTTTTTATACACGGAAGTCTTCAGAGAGTTTTTTTCTTCAAGCATTTATTTTTTTTAAATGTAATTGTTTTGTACGTGGAAAATTTCAAATATAAAGCACAAGGAATTGTTAATAAATCTCTATGTAACTAGTCACCCAACTTAGGCACTGTCAATAGTTTTACCATTTTTTTTTTTGAGATGGAGTCTCACTCTGTCCCCTAGGCTGGAGTGCAGTGGTGCGGTCTTGGCTCACTGTAACCTCTGCCTCCCAGGTTCAAGTGATTCTTCTGCCTCAGCCTCCCAAGTAGCTGAGACTACAGGCAAGGGCCACCACGCCCGACTAATTTTTTTTTTTTTTTTAATTTTTATTTTTAGTAGAGACAGGGTTTCATCATGTTGGCCAGATGGTCTTGATCTCTTGACCTCATGAGACACCTCGCCCAGCAATATTTTACGATCTTGTTACCACCATCACCTCTAAACTTTTTTTTTTTTGAGAAAAAGTCTCACTCCGCATTCAGGTTAGAGTACAGTGGTGCAGTCGTGGCTCACTGCAGCCTCAACCACCTGGACTCAGTGATCCTCCTGCCTTAGCCTCCCGAGTAGGTGGGACTATAGCTGTGCACCACCACACCTGGATAATTTTTTAAAATTTTTTAATGGCTGGGCGTGGTGGCTCACACCTGTAATCCCAGCAATTTGAGAGGCAGAACTGGGCGAATCACAAAGTTGGGAGTTCAAGACCTGCTTCACCAATATGTTGCAACCTGTCTCTACGAAAAATACAAAAATTAGCCGGGCATGGTTGTAGGCCCCTGTAGTCCCAGTTACTTGGGAGGCTGAGGCAGGAGAATTGGTTGAACCCAGGAGGCAGAGGTTGCCATGAGACAAGATCATATCACTGCACTCCAGCCTGGGTGACAGAGTGAGATTCTGTCTGAAAAAAAAAAATCATTTTATAGAGATTGGGTGGGGGGAGTCCCACTATGTTGCCAAGGCTGGTCTTGAACTCCAGAGCTCAAGTAATCCTCCTGCCTTCGCCTCCCAAAGTGCTGGGCTTACAGGCATGAGCCACCACACCTGGCCTAATTTTTTTTTCTTTTGCCGGAATATTTTAATATAAATCCAATACATGTTATCATTTTCCTCTCTCTATATATTAGGTGTGTTCCTAACAGGTAAGAGGTTTTGAAAACATTATACAATATCACTAATCTGTGTAACAAAGTTAACAATAATTCCTTAATATCATCTAATACCCAGTTCATGTTTTATGTTTTCCCATTGTCTTAAACAATAACTATTTAGAATTGCTATATTGCAATCAGTATCTAAGCAGGGTCTATACACTGCATTTGGTTGATTTGTGTCATAAACCTCTTTTTGTCTGCTACAGTTTCCCCTCCTCCACTTTTTTCATGCAATTTCATTTTTTAAGAAACTAGAAAGGCCAGCTGTGGTGGCTAAAGCCTGTAATCCCAGCACGTTTGAAGGCCGAGGCAGGAAGATTGCTTGAGCCCAGGAGTTTAAGACCAGCCTGGCCAAGCTGGTGAGACCCCATCTCTACAAAAACTTTTTAAAAAGTTAGATGTGGTGGTACACACTTGTGGTCCCAGATACTAAAGAGGCTAAGGTGGGAGGATTGCTTGAGACCAGGAGGTTGACCTGTATTTGCATCATTGTACTCCAGCCTGGGCAACAGAGACAGACTCTTGTCTTAAAAAAACAAACAGTAAAAACAACAACCAGGTGGTTTGACCTACAGAGTTTTCCAAATTCAAAATGTGGGAAATCAACTTGGCATGCTGTCTTGTGCTTACAATCCTAGCACTTTAGGAGGCTGAGGTGGGAAGGTCACTTGGGTCCAGGAGGTTGAGGATATAGTGAGCCATGAACACACCACTATACTTCAGCCTGGGATGACAGAGCAAAACTCTGTCTCAAAACAAATTAGCAAGTTGTTTCCTCATGGGGTCACTTGATGTGTAATTTCCATAAATTGATCATTAGATTTAGAGAACTGATTAGATTTAGGTTCCTTTTTTTGAATCAAGAATACTACACAATTGATGGCTTTGTACCAGTGACCCCGTCCCATCTTATGAAGAGATATATAGTGTCTGATGGTCCTGTTTTTGGTGATGGAGATCACAGAGTAGGTTCAAGTCACTCCAGTCCGATCATTCTACTGTACTATTCATCTGATCTTTCAGTTAATGGTTTTAGTAGCTAATCATGGTGTCATTAGGTTTTGCCAAATAGTGGTTTTCTAATTCTATCAACTCTTTTGCAACTATTAGTGTGATTCATCTATAAAGAAAAATTTTTCTGATAGCTTTAGGATTTATGGAATAGAAAAAAAAAGGAATTGTTTCTCAGATATAGTTACCCTAAAATACAGTTCATACTGGAAAGGCAGAATTCTTTCCTCTAAAGTCCTAATATACTTAATTGTTTATCTTTTGACAAAGAAGCTGTAAGACACATTTGCTTAATGCTAACACATTAGGACCTTTGAATGTTGAGCAGAAATATAAAAAAGAATCAATGCTTTTACATTTTAAATCAACAGGAAAATAGCATTCAATTTACCGATTATGAATAGTTGTGGCATTTTTAAAAGACGTGATTACTGGTAGAGCTATAGCAGGAATATGCGAAGATATAGTCCAAAGAAAAATACAGGAAGAAATATTGTGTATTTCTCTAAGTATCCTTGGCCTAGCGGCTAGAAGTTAAGAGAAAAGGTAGCTTGGGTCTGTGGAGCAGAGAGTTAAGTGAATTCTTTCTCTTTATTTGTAGCCATCAGCCAGCACAGGCCTCATCAGCGCCTTTAACTGCCACCTTTCTTCCTCAGCAGGACCTTTGCTTCCTATCCTCGGAAAAATATAAGGTATTTAGTTTTTACATGTTTGGTGGGTGGATCCGTTAAATGTTAGAAAAAGTACTTTGCTACAAGTGTATGTGTTTGGATAATGAATTGCTCCTGCAAAACTCTTAGATCAAGGTTGAAAGGCAGACATCGAATGGTTTTCTTTCCCACAGATCACCTAACTGCTCTAGGTGTCTCATTGTTCCCGGAGTTCAGCCACACACAATCTCATTTGGCCAGATCCTCACAACAACCATGTGAGATGGATATTGACATCTCTGCTTTACAGAGGTGAAAACTAGAACTTACAGAGTGAAAGTGACTTGTCTGTTAGTTACAATTAACAAGTTTCTATGGGCATCAAACTGCCTCACTTTGTTGCCTAACCTAGTTGGAGCATGACTATTCTTAGATAGCTTAGCCTCCCCATGCTGGCTTCAGCTTTTGTGCAGGCTGGTCTGTTTGGACTGCCTGGGCATCACATTGGGAAGAGGTTACTGACTAAATCAGACTGCAGGGGACTTCCCTTTTCCCTTAGGGATAGTGCTTTGATAGCTTTAAGTTGGCCTGGACAGACGGGCCTGCTGCCTCTCTAGTTCATTACAGCAATGAGTTGCCAGATGTGGGAACCCTCAGCCAGCTCATCCTACCTGCCATTTAGAACCCTGGTAACGATACTTCATGGGCTAGGGGGCCACATATGTGGATGTAACATGCTTTAAATGTTTCCTAGTTCCCATTTATATATTTTTTAATTTTTTAAGGTGTCAGAGATCAATCACCTACATTCGGAATATGTCAAAGTAAGTGAGCATTTTAAAGCTTCCATGAAACATTTCAAGATTGAAAAGATAAAGAAGATCGAGAACCCAGAGCTCCTGGATTGTTTTAAACGGTTGGTGGCCACGTTATGATGTTTCTTTACATAAAACTGGAAAGGATTACTTAATATCCATCCTTTAAGATTTATATTCGGGGCTGGACACAGTGGCTCAAGCCTGTAATCCCAGCTACTCAGGAGGCTGAGGCAGGAGAATTGCCTGAACCCAGGAGGCGGAGGTTGCAGTGAGCTGAGATCGCGCCATTGCACTCCAGCCTGGGTAACAAGAGTGAAACTCCGTCTCAAAAAAAAAAAAAAAAAAAATTATTCACAGATTTATTTTAGTCGTCAACAGTTCCTTCAGGCTCTAGTTGTTTTTTTCATTGTATCAACTCCGGCTTCTCTCTTTCAGCCTCACTGATTTCATGTGTCTATCTTTTACAAATTTTCATAAGTTTATTATTGTACAGCTTCTGCCTTAAAGTTAGTAGCTTCATTGTGAAAGCTGATGGGATGAAATTTTCAGATGATTAGACTTTAGCTGGGATTCATGTTATGAACTGGAGTGAGAAGGAGATGTATTGGTGTTAACTCTCACATTTCTTACATTAGGAAGAAGTTGCAGATGAACGTAGAAGAAAACCTCCTATTTTATGCGACAAAACGTGCCTATGTGGAATCTATCTGTGCGAATAATTTTGACTGGACCATACATGAAACTCATGTGGCCGCATATGGAAAAGGTTTGTGCTGGGATAGAAAAGTGTAACTGGTAGAGTTATAACTTGGGCTTTATATGCGCTTCTATGAGGAGGTATATGTAATTATTTTGTATTAACCAGAGTGTCCAGGCTTTAGTGGTCATGGAGAGAAAATAAGCTCGCAGTGATCTCAAATGCCCAAATGAGAGTGGCTCCGTCGACTTGGAGCATGAGTGCTGGAACTCAGTCTCACTCCTGCCTTCTGTTTTCTTTCTGGGAATGACCAGAGTCCTTGTACGTGCTTGTCAGTTACTCCATCTGTTGGCCTTGTTGTCTGCCATCACTACTCACTTCTGGCCGTGCTGTTCCTGAACACATGTCCATGCCTCTGAAGCTATTTGAAGCTTCAGTTGTCACACAGTGGTTTTAATTAAAGACGAGGAGAAGAGAATTCTCCCTATCTCTGGCCACACTGGGTTACCTGGACTTGTAGTGTGATAGGTCTGCCCCCCACACAAAATCTTTATAGCTCTTTCTTTTTACTCCTAAACTCTTGCCTGCAATTTTTTTTTTTTTTTTTTTTTTTTTTTTTTTTTTTTGAGACAGGGTCTCACTTTGTCACCCAGTTTGGGTGACAATGTCAGCTCACTGCAGGCTCCACCTCCTGGGCTCAAGTGATCCTCCCACCTCAGCCCCCCAAATAGTTGGGACAGCAGGTGTGTGCCACCACATCCAACTAATTTTTTTGTGTTGTTGTTCTGTTTTTGTATTTTTTGTAGAGACAGGGTTTCACCGTGTTGCCAAGGCTGGTCTCATCTCCTGAGCTCAAGCAATCTGCCTACCTCGCCTCCCAAAGTGCTAGGATTCCAGGCGTGAGCCACTACTCCTGGATGCATGCAACTGTTAAAACCAAACAAACCAAACTAAGAATTACTCATCTTTAGGAAATAAGTAATAGTTTATCAAAGATTCAAAATGAGTTCAACTCATACAACTAGGATTAAATTCAGTTCTTGCTCCAAAAGGCAAGAAGTCAGTCAGCAAATATTTTTGAGTGTCTTCTGTACACTAGATGCTGGGTACACAGCAGTGAACAAGTTAGACATGGCCCAATAGAAATCATTTTGTATAATTATCTTACATAATTAATTAAATGATTATGGCCAGGCATGGCGGCTTACACCTGTAATTCCAGTACTTTGAGAGGCTGAGGTGGGAGGATCGCTTAAACTCAGGAGTTGGAGACCAGCTTAGGCAACATGGTGAGACCCTGTCTAATTTTTTGCTTTAATTAAAAAAAAATTTTTTTTAATTACCTGGGCATGGTGACTCATGCCTGTAGTCCCAGCCTAAGTGATAGAGCAAGACTTTGTTTCCAAAAAAAAAAAAAGAATTAAATGATTGCAAATGTCAGGCTGCTATAGAAGAAAAGAACACCTCCAGGCTGGGCATGGTGGCTCACGCCTATAATCCCAGCCCTTTGGGAGGCTGAGGCAGGTAGATCACTTGAGGTGAGGAGTTCAAGACCAGCCTGGCCAACATGATGAAACCTCATCTCTACTAAAAATACAAAAACTTAGCCAGGCATGGTGGTACGTGTCTGTAATCCCAGCTACTCAGGAGTCTGAGGCAGGAGAATCGCTTGAACCCAGGAGGCAGAGGTTGCAGTGAGCTGAGATCGCACCACTGCACATCAGCCTGGGCAACAGAGAGAGACTCTGTCTCAAAAATAAAAAAGAGTCCAGACCAGAAATGAGGGTGGCTTTGACCCAGGTGGTGGAGGAGAAAGGATCAAAAGGATATTGCAGTTCAAGGGATCTATTCCCTAAGAGGAATATGTGCAACAAGACAGAGTCCAGGTCTTAGGAGAGTGGGCTTGCAAGATTGAGTCTTCGGGTTGGATCATTTTAGAAAATATAGGCTGGGCATGGTGGCTCATGCCTATAATCCCAGCACTTTGGGAGGCCAAGGTGGGTGGATTGCTTGAGGCCAGGAGTTCAAGACCATCCTGGCCAACATGGAGAAGCCCTGTCTCTACTAAAATTACAAAAATTAGCTGGGTGTGGTGGCACATGCCTATAGTCCCAGCTACTTGGGAGGCTGAGGCATGAGAATTGCTTGAACCTGAGAGGGAGAGGCTGCAGTGAGCTGAGATCCTGTCACTGCGCTCTAGCCTCAGTGATAGAGCAAGACTCTGTCTCAAAAAAGAAAAAAAGAAAGCACTCAGAAATGTAGGAGTAAAAATTAACTTTCTTAACACAATAAAGGGAATTTTAAAAAAGAAAATATAGATTCCAGGTTATATAAGTGTGATATAAAAACAACTGATGCTTGGCAACAAAAACAAAAATGGACAAATGAGATTGTGTCAAACTAAAAAGCTTCTCCACAACAAAGGAAACAATTCAAAGTGAACAGACAAACCCACAGAGTGGGAGAAAATATTTGCAAGCCATACATCTGATAAGGAGTTAATATCCAAAATATATAAGGAACTCAAACAGTTCAACAGCAAGAGAACAAATAACCTGATTTAAAAATGAGCAAGCTGTTCCCATAAGTGGCCTGAGGTGATCTGTAGAAATGGTTTGCTATTCACTTGACCCAGAAATCTACATGAAATCATGCAAATCAAGAAGTTTAAATCTTCATGCTCACTTTAAGAATACCCATGAAACTGCCCTGGCCATCAAGGGTATGCATATATATGAAAAGCCAGCAAGTGTCTGAAAGATGTCACTGGATAGAAACAAGGTGCACCATTCTAACGTTATGAGGTTGGAACTGGTAGGAGTGTTCAGGCCATACAGAAGGGCTTGGCACATGTTTGGTGACACAAAAAGAGTTGAATTTTTGCTGTACACACTTAAAAATGCAGAGTGTAATGCTGAACTTAGGGTTGAGCTGTAGATTCTCTGGTCATTGAGAATATTCAGATGAACAAAGCACCCAAGACGTGCCTTACAGAGCTCATGGTTGGATTAACTCATGCGTGAGCTCCCCCTGCCACGTAGAGACAGTCTTCACTGAAAAAGAACACAGTGTTCCTAAACCAGAAGAGGAGGTACCCGGAAGAGAAAGATATCCTAGGAGAAACTGAAGAAGCAAAAACTGATGGCACAGGAATAAAATTTAGCATAAAATACATGCAAGTAGGAGTTTCAAAAATGGGCAAAAGACTTGAATAAACATTTCTCAAAAGAAGAAATACAAATGGCCAATGAATTCATGAAAAAATGTTCAACATCACTAATCATTGGTGAATTACGCAAATTAAAACCACAGTGAGCCCAGGAGGTCCAAGGCTGCCGTGAGCCAAGATTGAACCACTGACCACTGCACTCCAGCCTGGGTGAAAGAGACCCTGTTTTACACGGGGCGGGGGAAGGGTTAGATGTACTGACAGCAAGATTTCTAGGACTAAAGTGGGAAAAAAAAAAAGTTGTAGAACAGATCATATATTATGACCCCATTTATGAACAAATAAACACCATAGAACTATATGAGACTACATTAAACTACAAGAGCATGCCATATACTATATGTACATATATGTATGTGAAGGCATAGAAATAGGTGTGAAAGAATTCTCACCAAGCCATTAACTGTTTTGGGAAGAGGGGTGGGACTGGATGTGGTAGGTCAGTATAGGTGGACTTTCATGTTTTTAAAAGTGGAACATCATTTGCCTAGAATATCTAGTATCCAACCTATTCAGGATAAGTAATGTTTCTGGAATTCAAACATCTAACTATAAAATGATAAAAATAACAAAAACAAAGTAAATGGAAAGTATAAACATTTGTTACCTCAAGTAAATTCATTTTACTTATTGATTCTTGCATGGAAATCAGAGTTTGCAATATCTACTCATTCTCTTTAAAATGGCAGAGTAGCTTTCTTAAAAAAATATTATTAGTATTTTTTGATGCAGGGTTTCACTCTGTTGTCCAGGCGGGAGTGCAGTGGTGCGATCCTAGCTTACTGCAGCCTCAATTTACTGGGCTCAATCAATCTGCCTCAGCTTCCTGAGTAGCTGGGACTACAAGTTCATGCCACCATGCCTGGCTAATTTTTAAATTTTTTGTAGAGATGGAGTCTCCCCATGTTGCCCAGGCTGGTCTAGAATTCCTAGGCTCGGGCTGGGCACTGTGGCTCACGCCTGTAATCCCAGCACTTTGAGAAGCTGAGGCGGGTGAATCATGAGGTCAAGAGATCGAGACCATCCTGGTCAACATGGTGAAACCCCGTCTCTACTAAAAATACAAAAAATTAGCTGGGCATGGTGGCGCGTGCCTGTAATCCCAGCTACTCAGGAGGCTGAGGCAGGAGAATTGCCTGAACCCAGGAGGCGGAGGTTGTGGTGAGCCAAGATCGCGCCATTGCACTCCAGCCTGGGTAACGAGCGAAACTCCATCACAACAACAACAAGAAAAAAAAAAAACAAAAAAAAAAGAATTCCTAGGCTCAACAGGTCCACCTACCTCAGCCTCCCATAATGCTGGGATTACAGACATGAGCCACTGCACCCACCCAGAGTAGCAGTTGACAATGATAAAAATTTTAACTTGGCAGGAAATTGTTGGTCTGCTGTGTATGAAAGCAGCAATCAGTATCTGAGGTTGTTTTAGAGTTGAGAACGAAGCATTGACTGACTCATCAATTCCAACTCTGCTCATTCAGCTCACCCTAGGTGAATGACATGAACTGGTCCGTGGTGTCATCATCATTTGGTCATTGCACCCAATGGTTCACACTATCAGCGTGAGCTCTTCACTGTAGCAAACATTCCTCAGTCATGTCTATATGTATTTAAGAGTTATATGTATTTAAGTTTGCCTGCCTAATAAATATGGTGTGTTTTTGTTTTTGTTTTTGTTTTTGTTTTTTGAGACAGAGTCTCACTCGGTCGCCCAGGCTGGAGTGCAGTGGTGTGATCTTGGCTCACTGCAACCTCCACCTCTTGGGTTCAGGCGATTCTTCTGTCTCAGCCTCCCGAATAGCTGGGACTACAGGTGCGTGCCAACACGCCTGGCTAATTTTCTTTTTATTTTTTAGTAGAGATGGGGTTTCACCATCTTGAACAGGCTGATCTCAAACTCCCGACCTCATGATCCAACCACCTCAGCCTCCCAAAGTGCTGGGATTACAGGCGTGAGCCACCACACCCATAAACATGTTTCCAAGTGCGAAGGGAAGTTGATAAGTATCAGTAAGGTTTATTGATATATGCTTAGTACAAGCCCACTTGATTTCGTATAACTAACCTTATAAACAATATACCTTCTTTTATCATCACTCTTAACCTTTATTTCTGATTCCTTCTAGGAGGTTACTTTGCAAAAGATGCCATCTATTCCCACAAAAATTGCCCGTATGATGCCAAAAACATCGTTATGTTTGTAGCCCGAGTCCTGGTTGGAAATTTTACTGAAGGAAATATGACGTACACGAGCCCTCCTCCCCTGTTCAACAGCTGTGTGGATAATAGGTTGAATCCCTCCGTTTTTGTCATCTTTCAGAAAGATCAGATTTACCCACAATATGTGATTGAATATACTGAAACAGACAAAGCCTGCGTGATTAGTTAGAACCGATGAATACAGCGTCAGAAGGATGCCGTAACTATTCTGTTGCCTTGCAGAATAAATTGCCCCAGAAAGTAAAGTTTTATATTTTAATGTCTTCGATCAGTGGTCCCCAACCTTTGCTACACATTTGAATCATCTGGAAAGTTTTAAACAAATTCTGATGCTCAGGTTGCACCCCATACCAATTAAATCATTTCTGGGCGTGAGTGCCAGGCAGTTGTATTTTTTAAAGCCCTTCTGATGATTCTAATGTGTTGCAAAGTTTACCTTGTCTCACATGTAACTGGCAAAGCTGATTTTAAAATTTTCTGTAATTGCAGCAGCCTTTCTCTCCTGTCTACTTTTTTAGTTTACTGTATGCCATGGTTTTGTTTTTGGCTCTATTGAAAGAAAATTAATTTGGGAAATTTGGGAGAAATCTAATGCCTGTTGAAATAAGGATATAAGAAAGATTGTGAAAAGCTGGGGAGAAAATGCTTAAGTACACGCTAGGAAAAAAGGAAAATTGAAATGCTATGGCAAACATAGCTGCCGTACTGTACCTTATCATTCTGATGAAACTGATCTGGAGCACCCATTTCTTTATCGCTACATTTATTTAGGGGACAAACTCCATCCAGGTTGACTGTCTCTGGAATGTGGTAATAAGAGCTGCCAAGTGTGGCTCAGAGAGAAGCAACCAACTGGAGTTAATTGCCCATTTGGGCTCTTTGTATAATGATGGCAAAGTAGACATTTATGTTCTAATTAATGTGATTATAGAGAAGGCTTTCTCTCAGGTCAGGCTTTTCATGAAAGTATTTTGAGAACAATGAATTGCAATAACCGGCCTCACACAAGCATGACTGATAAATTCGAGTGCTGTTGTAGTCTTGGCAAACAAGCCAAGACCCTAGGAGCAGGGCCATTCCTACCGAAGGGCCGGCCCCCTACGGAGACGAAATTTGTTTCCTGGTGAGCACAGAATCAGAACAAGGAACAATATCCCAAAGAGGCCCTGTGCCTACCAGGAGCTTCTTTTTCTAAATATAATGGATTAGGTGGAATTGTAGTACCATCGTTTTTTATTTAGAGCTGGTGGAGTGCTTGGACCAATATTTCCTTCCTTCTTATGGACCAGGGTTTTCCTTCCAATTTTCTCTTTTCAACATTCCTTACCAGTCATCAGAGTTTCCTGTTATTATTTCTTCTAGCAGACATGTTCAAGTCAGAGTTAATTAGCATCAGAGTTGATTTTATATTAGTCAGATTTTGGATCATCACAGAGATCTCCACAACTCTTTGGCTTAAACGACTCCACCAGTAAAAAATATAGAGATTTTTTTTTTAGAGTAATTTTGTGGGAGGGGGACCACAAATGCTTATTCTCATTCACTTATGTTTTCTTATGGTAGCTTTCATTTTGGAGGGTTCATTTTCTGAACTTGACCATCACATTATAGGGGTGCAGTGTGTCCAACTCTTTCCAACAGCCCATTAGACACCACTAGCTGGATATTTCACAGTCATCTTTGATTCAAGCTGTCCAGAGTGGAACTCTCCATCCGCCTCCCTCACATGAATCTGTTTCTCTCCCAGGATTCTGTGTGTAAGTGAACAGTATCACCATCTACCGATTGGCTCAAGCAGAAATCCAGAAGTCATCTTTGACTCCTTGCTCTCCCTCCTGATAAATGTCTAAGCAGTTTCTCATCTAGTTTTACCTCTTAACTGTCTCTGTTCCCAAATTGTTTCATGTGTTTTCTTCACAGCAAGAAGCTTATCTTTTTAAAAATGTACTTAGTAATGCATATTCAAAGCACAAGTCTGATCAAGTCTTCAGGATAAAGTTCAAAACCACTATCACAGCCCCAGGTGACCTCTCCCTCCCCTCCCCTCCCCTCCCCTCTGTGATGTAGCTTCTTCTGCACAAGCCACTCTGCTGGCTTTCTTTCAGTTTTGTGGTTCCCATTTTCAGCTAGTTCAGTGGTTCTCATTGAGCACTTCTGCCTTTTTTTTTTTTTTTTTTTTTACAAATACAAATGGCATCTTCTCTATTATCCTCAAAATCTAATACATGCTTCACCTACATACAATTTTAGAAATAAATTAAGAATTAAATAAAACTAATATTAACATAAAAAGGAAATAAAGGGTACCTAACTTGGGAACAACTATAATCGAAGACCTAAGGAAGTAGTCAGATGCTTACAACTATTTATAATGAATCAATTTAAACTTAGAAGGTAGGAGATCAGACCATCCGTGGAAAAATGCAAACGAAGAGATACGAGTGGACATTACAGTAAAAACTAGGGATACAATAACTTCTTTGCATTTGACAATACTTATTTGTATATGATAAGAGAAAGAACGAATTAACCTTAATTGAAATAAAGATACTATGCAAGAAAATGTACAGATTGTCGACGTGGAGAAAATGAAGATATATTCTTACAGACGAGCTATAGATCATACATGAATGTCTAGTGAGACATTCAAAATTCGTATAGGGTGCAGAATAATTTCTTATTGTGAGGAACTGTCCAATGTATTGCAAGATGTTCTTCGTACTTGGCTCTCACAAACTAAATGCTAGTAGCGCCCCACCCCCACGCCCAGTCATGGTGACAACCACGAACCCCATCGGATCTGTTCACCCTTTTCAGAGCAGATATTTTGTAACATCCTCTTTCCTGTCCTGAAATGACTCATAGATAATCAAATCTACTTACACACATGAATTTCTTAAAAAATCAATTTAATGCCCTAACTCTCTTATAAAGGAGAAATAGAAAGAAATTTGGAATGAAAAGAAGATGAATTTTAAATGCTCAGGCATGACTATGCTGTATGAAAGAGACAGATGTTTACTCTTCATTATAATGAGTAGGTTTGGATTTAAGAGCCTTTAGAGGCTACTTCCTGTAAACAAGTAGAGGAAAATGAAACTAGAGGTATGGGGGACACTAGAATGAAAACCAGTGTTAGGGTAAGTCAAAACAGACCATATACATCATGTGTATATGGGGAAAAAAGCGAAATTACCTTAAGGATAATAGGACAAGACAAATTACAGGTTGTCTCAGAGAAAACAAAACGAGTTACTCTCTCAGACAAGCTGTGGGTCCTACATACATGTCCAGTAGGACATTAGACTGTCGTACAGGGCACAGAATAATTCCTCATTGTGTGACATAACCCACACACTGCAGGACGTCTGTCAGCCCCAGCTGCACCCACTCAGTGCCGGTAGTAGTCCACAATTGTGAAACCACCAACAAACCATTGACCACAGTGAGAACCACTGGTTTTTTTCCGGGGACCTAGTGAATATCTAGCATCCTTAGATCATCCCAACTGTTACTTCCCTAAAGAGTCCTTCTACAGAATGGGTCAGATCCTTGCCTCCCTAACTCCTTATTTTTAAAATACTTTGCACCTTGCTTTGTTAATTTGTATTATGTATCCAAACTGAAATTATCTGTTTTCTGCATTAGAATGTAAGTCCTGAGGGCTGGGTCAGTCTTGTTTGCTGTGCTATGCCTAACGCCCAGCCAAGCAGGGTGCTTTGTACACTGATGTACTGGATAAATTTTGTTGAATAAATTAAGTTCAGCTATTTATATTTCAATAATTGAGTAGTATTGCTTCTGGTTCTTCAAGCTTAATTTGAACTATCTAATAAAAATAAGTAATTAATTTGGTCTACTGCCTTTATTTGATCTCTTTCTAGGTATCTCCAAAAAGATCACCAACTGCAGATTCCAGTTATTCAATGGGGGAGAGATGATGTGTTTTGCCCCTTCCAGCTTTATCATTCCAGGGCTTAATAAGCAAGTCACCTGTGCAAGGTGCAGTGGTGGTGATGGTCCCACATCTTTTGTCTGGGGACTTAGGGAAGGGCCGAAAGCTATTAACACATCTTTATTCCTTTGGTTTCAGGGGTGTGAACAGGGCCAAGCTGAGCACAAAAGTTAAAAGTATAAATGGTGATCAGGAGACTCACCCTATCAGCCATTCCTCCTTCAAAACCCTTCTCTACTATTTATTTATTATTTTTATTTTTGAGACAGTCTCACTCTGTCGCCCAGGAAGGAGTGCAGTGGCACAATCTCAGCTCACTGCAACCTCTACCTCCCGGGTTCAAGTGATTCTCCTGCCTCAGCCTCTCGAGGAGCTGGGATTACAGGCACAAGCCATCACACCTGGTTCATTTTTGTATTTTTAGTAGAGACGGGGTTTCACCATGTTGGTGAGGCTGGTCTTGAACTCCTGACCTCAGGTGGTCTGCCTGGCTCAGCCTCCCAAAGTGCTGGGATTACAGGAGTGAACCACCACGCCCAGCCTCATTTCTTTTTAAATCACAAAGCTTTCAGTGGAGAAGAAGTAAGGGAGTGAGGGAAATAGATAAGAAGAGCAAGTTCTATGGCAACAGAGATTTGATAAAGTCAACATTTGACTTAGACCTCAATATAAATTAAAGCAAGGCATGGCAAAGTCATTGCTGTCAAAGCACCGGGATTCAAACACACAAAAATGCTATCAAACCAAGCATGAGCAGATCTTGGAGTTTTTTTATTTTTTTATGTGTTTATTTTCTTTGTCAGAGTGCTCCCAAGAAAACCTTCCATTATCTAGTTTCTGGTGGACTCCTCAGTCCAGCATTTGGTAGAAATGAAGTTATGGCCAGGCACGGTGGCTCACGCCGGTAATCCCAGCACTTTTGGAGGCTGAGGTGGGCAGATCACCTGAGGTCAGGAGTTCGAGACCAGCCTGGCCAAAATGGTGAAACCTTGTCTCTACTAAAAATACAAAAATTAGCCGGGCATGGTGGTTGGTACCTATAATCCCAGCTACTCAGGAGGTTGAGGCAGGAGAATCACTTGCACCCAGGAGGTGGAGGTTGCAGTGAGTCAAGAAAGTGCCACTGCACTCCAGCCTGGATGACAAAGCGAGACTCTGTCTCAAAAAAATTAAAGAGAAGTGCCATAAAAGGCAATATTTGGTTGAGTGCTAAGTGTGTGTGGCTGGGCCACGGGGACCATGTTCCAGGACGTGTCTTGGAAAGAGTGCAGGGGATAACAGGCAGGTTTCATTTAGAACGTTAAGACCAGAGTGGATGATTTATAACAGTGATATCAATGCATGTCCCTGGAGTGAATTGGTTCTACTGGTTTATTTGATCTCTTGCTACTGAGGTATGCCTGAATGACCATCAGCTTGAAAATGAGCTTCAGAATCAGAGTGGGAGGAGACATGAGAAGTTTCCAGGATGGGGCTGGGCGTGGTGGCTAACGCCTGTAATCCAAGCACTTTGGAGGCCAAGGCAGGCAGATCACCTGAGGTCGGGAGTTCAAGACCAGCCTGACCAACATGGTGAAACCCCATCTTTTTTTTTTTTTTTTTCTTTTTTTTTTTTTTAAAAAAAAAGAAGTTTCCAGGATGTGCTTAAGTCTTAAAAGCTCCAATCTGAAATTACTACCTCCAATCTCAACCTCCTGTTTCTCTTTTCCATTCCCCTGTGAACCTGCCTGGCATCTGATGTCACCCGCTTCTCCCTGAAAACGCCACATTTTTCAATAAACAGTCTGCTCTGGGATTTTTCCTTTTTACCCCTCTATGCACTTCCCCATGAATGGTTTTTTTGTTTGTTTGTTTGTTTGTTTTTGAGACGGACTCTCACTCTGTCACCCAGGCTGGAGTGCCATGGCTTGATCTCAGCTCACTGCAACCTCTGGGTTCAAGCGATTCTCCTGTTCTGCCTCCTGGGTTCAAGTGATTCTCCTATCTCAGCCTCCTGAGTAGCTGGAATTACAGGTACCTGACACCACACCCAGCTAGGAAGAGATGGGGTTTCTACACGTTGGCCAGGCTGGTCTTGAACTCCTGACCTCAGCTGAAGTTGATCCTCCTGCCTCGGCCTCCCAAAGTGCTGGGATTACAGGCATGAGCCACTGCGTCTGGCCTAGAACTGATCTTTCTGAAATCCCAAACCTCTATATTCTGCCTCTGACCCCAGCCTGCTTTTCAGCTCTCTCTACTACATTCTGTACATCGTCTTTCTCTGCTCACATACAGCCCCTTGCTGTCTTCACTCCTCCCTTACCTAGCCTCCAGCCCGTTGTTCAGCCCATGACTACTTTCTTTTCTTTCCTTTTTCCCTTCCTTCCTTCCTTCCTCCCTCTCTCTCCCTTCCTTCTTTCCTGCCTCCATCCTTTCTTCTCTTCCCTCCTCCCTCCCTCCCTTCCTTTCTTCCTTCTCTCTTTTTTTTTTTGAGACAGGGTCTCACTCTGTCTCCCAGGCTGGAGTGCAGTAGCACAATGTCAGCTCACTGCAGCTTCTGCCTCCCAGGTCCAAGTGATTCTCCCACCTCGGCCTCCTGAGTTGCTGGGACTATAGGCATGTGCCACCATGCCTGCCTGGCTAATTTTTGTAATTTTGGGTAGAGACAGGGTTTCACCATGTTGTCAAGGCTGGTCTTGAATCCCTGTTCTCAGGTGATCCACCTGCCTCGGCCTCCCAAAGTGGTGGGATTACAGGTGTGAGCCACTGCACCTGGCCCCCTGACCACTCTTTCAATTCATACTTTCAATCACCCAGAACCTTGGACCTTTAAGTCTCATCCACTGGCAAAACCTAGAGTGGCTCAATTAAATTCTGTTCTTACACCTTGAGAGCGTTTTGTTGTTGTTGTTGTGAGACGGAAGTCTTGTTCTGTCACCAGGCTGGAGTGCATGGCGGGATCTCGGCTTATTGCAACCTCCACCTCTGGGGTTCAAGCAATTCTCCTGCCTCAGCCTCCCGAGTAGCTGGGACAGGTGCGTGCCACCACACCCAACAGATTTTTGCATTTTTTAGTAGAGATGGGTTTCACTGTGTTAGCCAGGATGGTCTTGATCTCCTGACCTCATGATCCACTCGCCTTGGCCTTCCAAAGTGCTGAGATTACAGGTGTGAGCCACCGCGCCTGGCCCAGAGAGCTTTTAGGAGAATTACAGCATCGTTTGGATCAATGCCACTACCAATCTGTGGCCTTGGCAAGGCCCTCCCCACTGGTCCTACCTTCAGCTTCATCAAGCCTTTATGGCAGGCGTCCCCAAACTACGGCCGTGCGGCCCCCTGAGGCCATTTATCCGCCCCCCCCCCACCACGCCGCACTTCAGGAAGGGGCACCTCTTTCATTGGTGAGAGGAGCACAGTATGTGGCGGACCTCCAACGGTCTGAGGGACAGTGAACTGGCCCCCTGTGTAAAAAGTTTGGGGACGCCTGCTTTATGGTCTCAAGTGACTCTCCACCACCCATTCTTGGTCTTGCTTAAACTTAAAAAGACAAAACAAAACAGCTTACAAATTTATCTTTACATGCTCTAGATCCACGCTGATCACCTCCTCCTTGAAACTCTCCTCTGTGTGTCCATGAATGACTCTTTTTTTTTTTTTTTTTTTTTTGAGACGGAGTTTCGCTCTTGTTTCCCAGGCTGGAGTGCAATGGCGCGATCTCAGCTCACCGCAACCTCCGCCTCCTGGGTTCAGGCAATTCTCCTGCCTCAGCCTCCTGAGTGGCTGGGATTACAGGCACGCGCCACCATGCCCAGCTAATGTTTTGTATTTTTAGTAGAGACGGGGTTTCACCATGTTGACCAGGATGGTCTCGATCTTTTGACCTCGTGATCCACCCGTCTCGGCCTCCCAAAGTGCAGGGATTACAGGCTTGAGCCACCGCGCCCGGCCCATGAATGACTCTTACTTTCCTCTGGCCTCTCCTTATAAGTTTATATGTTAGGCTGTGTTCCCTCAGGAGCAATCAGACAAGGATTGAATGCAAGTACTTTACTTGGGAGATGATCCTAAGAAACACTGGCAGAAGAATGGGGAGGTGGGACAGGGAGAGGAAGGCAGACTGTGTGGGGAGTGCTGATGAGGAGGTGTGGCTGTGGACAAGTGGGGCTCAGGTCCACTGAGGAAACCTTGGGAGACCGTGGCATGCACACCTCCAAGTGGTTCCACATGAGGAATAATGAGTTGGGTTGTCTGAACCATTACTGGGGAGGAACAACTTTCCTGCACCCTCTTTTTTTTTTTTTTTTTTTTAACAGTCCAGAGTTGTTTTTTTTTTTTTTTTAACACCTATTATGCCATGAATTCACAGGCAGTAGGTTCCAGCAGATCAGGCTCCTTCCCATTGGTTCTCACAAAGCACGCTTCTCTGGGCGGAGCAGGCTGGTGCTTCAGTTGAACCCGGGTACCTTTCTCTTTGGCTCCTTTTTCTGATCATTTTCCTTCACACATTTTAGGAAGCTATCTCGGCTCTTAGAGTGCTTGATGTGCTCAATACGCACATTAATTCTCTTGGCAAGAATCTTGCCCTTAACTTGTCTGTTTACAACAATGCCAACAGCATGCTGGGTAACACTGTAGACGCTTCCAGTTTTGCCATGGTAACACCTGTGGGGCGTTCTTTTTTGAACAGTACCCATTCCCTTGATGTCTACAATATCACCTTTCTTACAGATTCCCATATACGTGGCCAAAGGAACAACTCCATGTTTTCTAAAAGGCCTAGAGAACGTGTATCGAGTGCCTCTCCTCTTTCTCTTTGTGTTCGTCATTTTGGCGACTTACTGGAAGATGGTGGTTCCAGCCGAAAGGCCCTGCACCCTCTTAAGTTCAGTTCAGAGGGGCTGCAAATTTAACTGACAAGAGAAAAAATATATTTGTAAATGGGAGTGTACAAAAGAAGTGATGATAATTTATATGTCTAAATTAATAGAGGAGAGAGGGGGGCAAAAGGCTCCTATGGGAAGAACAAAGGGGTTTCTAGGGGAACAAACAGGAGAAAAGGAAGTTTGTGATCATGTGAACACTTGTATCACATCTCAATTCAGACTAGCCACCTTCCAAAAGAGCTCAGCAAGGCGCCGCTGCGTGGCTCACGCCTGTAATTCCAGTGCTCTGGGAGGCGGAGGCAGGTGGATCGCTTGAGGAGTTCAAGACCAGCCTGGGCAACACGGGGAGACTCCGTTTCTGCAAAACAAAACAAAAATCATGGTGCGAACCTTCCGTCGCAGCTACTCAGGAGGCTGAGGTGGGGGAGGATGGCTTGAGCCTACGAGTCCCAGGCTACAGCGAACGACGATCGCGCCACTGCACTCCAGCCTGGGCGATAGAGACCTCGTCTCCGAAAACAAAACAAAAAATAACATAAAATAAAATACAACAACAACAACAACAAAAAAACCCAGAAGTGCTCAGCAGCCACATGTGGGTAGCAGCCACCTCCCCTGAAGCAGCCCGGCCACTCACCTCCTACCACCTTTTACCCATTTTGCCTTCTCCGCAGGCCTCCCTGGCACTACTAGTTGTCTTTTTGGCGAGTCCTTTGTGACTCCCACTGTACAAGCCCCTCAAGGCCAGGCCTCGTCCTGAACAGTGCCCGGGCAGAGCAGACGCTCTATCAACGCTGTCCCCGGCTGCGTCCGTGTCCAGGGGATCCGCAGGCGCCGTACCCTGCTTCCACGCCCCTCGCCCGGCCTCCCGCAGGCCCACCCCTCGCCAGGCCCAGGCCCACGCCCACCCCCGGGATGTTCGCTGGAAATCGTGGACGTGACTGGGAGGAGCCTGCACGTCCCGGCTCTCGGCGCCGCGCGCACAGGGCCCGCGCCAGCGACCATGGCGGAGCCCACGGTGTGCTCCTTCCTCACCAAGGTGCTGTGCGCCCACGGCGGCCGCATGTTCCTGCGGGACCTGCGCGGCCACGTGGAGCTGTCGGAGGCCAGGCTCCAGGACGTGCTGCAGCGCGCCGGGCCCGAGCGCTTCCTGCTGCAGGAGGTGGAGACGCAGGAGGGCCTCGGGGACCCGGAGGCCGAGGCGGCGGCCGGCGCGGTGGGCGGTGGCGGCGGGGCCTCCGCCTGGAGGGTTGTGGCCGTGTCCTCCGTGCGCCTCTGCGCGCGCTACCAGCGCGGCGAGTGCCAGGCCTGCGACCAGCTGCACTTCTGCCGCCGGCACATGCTGGGCAAGTGCCCCAACCGAGACTGCTGGTGAGAAGGCGGCAGCGGCGGCCCGGGTGGGCGGGCGGGGACTGTGGGCGCAGGCCGCGGGCCTGGCCGTCCGGCCGGAAGCGGCGGCGACTGGAAGGGGGCTTCGTCCCGAGCGGGGCCGGGGCCGGGGGCACGGGACTGAACCGGCCCCTCCCGCAGGCCCGTCCCCGGGCGGCCTCCCCTGCGCTCCCAGCCGCGGGGCGGAAAGGCGCGAAGGTCCGCTCAGTGGAGACCTCTCAGCCGCCCCCGCCCCCCGGATTCTGCGCGACGCAGCCGGGTTCAGTCCTGACTGACTTTGGAGTTCGCTTACTCCGGTGATCTTTGGCGGGAGGTGGGGGACGGGGGCATCCGAGGATCCCATGAGATCTCTGGACTGTTTAACCGGAAATCGCCCGTTCCCCCCGTATCCACACACTTCTGCAGAAGCGGGTCTGCGCCCTCTAGGTTTAACAGCGCGGAGCCAGCCTGACCCAGGAAGCAGGGCTGGATGGCTTGGGTGAGGCCGTGTGGTTCCTGACTGCCAGAGCTGGGGTTCCCGGCCGCCTCCTGACTCCAGACTCTGCTTCACATCCCTGAATTTTCCTCGGTTGTTCCCCTCCCCCCCAACCCCAAAGTGGAGACGCTGGGCATAGGGACGCTTTCTTTTTCACGTTGGTGGACCGTGGGAATGGGCCGCTGTCTCCGGGGAGAAGGCCGAGTGCGGTCGCCTACAGAGCAGATGCGCACCCTCGGGCGAGGTGGGCTACACGGAGAGAGGTGCCCTCGGCTTCAGAGCACCCCGACTGACAATTCACATGACCTTGGGAGAGGAGTTGCTTCAACCCAACTTCCTTGTTTTCTTTCCATCAGTGCTTATTAGGCCATACTCTCCATGGTTTCATGACAGTTACTCAACTTCACATGTATTAAATTGAAAGCTGCTCAAGGCAAGGAATTTGACAGACTGGTCCTTCTTCACCGGGCATCTGACCGAGGTCTCTGTTCTCCTAGGTCTACCTGTACCCTTTCCCATGATATCCACACACCTATCAACATGCAGGTCCTGAAAAACCACGGACTTTTTGGCCTCAATGAAGCCCAGCTTCGGATCCTGCTTTTGCAGAATGACCCCTGTCTTTTACCAGAGGTGAGTCACCAGTCACCCTCAGGTCACATTTGTTACAAGTACTTTCCCCATTTTCTTTTGGCTTTAGATATTAGTTTTAATTGCTCTGAAGCAACATGATTCCCTTTCAAATGTTTTAAAGGTACCCACTATAATTGCTATCGTGGCAAAATAGTATGTTTCTGATTAGCTATACAGAAAAGAAGTTTTTTTTTTTTTTTGAGATGGGGTTTCGCTCTTGTTACCCAGGCTGGAGTGCAATGGCGCGATCTCGGCTCACCGCAACCTCCGCCTCCTGGGTTCAGGCAATTCTCCTGCCTCAGCCTCCTGAGTAGCTGGGATTACAGGCACGTGCCACCATGCCCAGCTAATTTTTTGTATTTTTAGTAGAGACGGGGTTTCACCATGTTGACCAGGATGGGCTCGATCTCTTGACCTCGTGATCCACCCACCTCGGCCTCCCAAAGTGCTGGGATTACAGGCTTGAGCCACCGCGCCCGGCAGAAAGAAGTTTTAAAAACAAAATAGTACAAATCCCAAGAGCGATTTGGAACATCAGTGAAGACCACCAGTTAAACACAGGGTTTTCTAATCTAGCACAATGATGCTATCATAGACACCTCCACTTTGCCAGAAGAGGAGTGGGAAGAAGGGAAGACGTTGAGAAAACAGGACAGTTCATAATTGCGGCCTGATTTTAACTCTAAGGCGTTTCAGAGTCTAGAAGGGAAGAAAGCCACAAGGCTAGAGAGAAGAGCTAGAGCCTTTGGTGCAGGTGGCAGAGGCTGCTCTCAAGGCAGCAGCAGGTGTACCAGAAGGCAGTCCTGGAGGCGATCTTCGGAATCAGTAGGTTTCCTCCTGACATGCATGATCTGTTTCATTTCTTTGAGCACTGAAACAAGTCTAGTATGTCATGGTTGTGAGCCAGATGCATTCCAACCAACCATGTTGCCCAAAGTAGATCCAAGCAGTAGCTGGAGCAGGTTATTGGCAGGAAGGGCGAGGAGGGTGGCCGAAGCTGTGAGGCTGGGTCCAGTCCTTCCTCTCTCCGAGAGAAGGGGTGGTGCCACTGCTATTAGCCTTTTAATTTTTTTTTTTTTTTTTTTTTTTTTTGAGATGTAGTTTCGCTCTTGTTGCCCAGCTGGAGTGCAATGATGCAATCTTGGCTCACCTCAATCTCTGCCTCCTGGGTTCAAGCAGTTCTCCTACCTCAGTCTCCCAAGTAGCTGGAATTATAGGCATGTACCACCACGCTTGGCTAATTTTGTATTTTTAGTAGAGATGGGGTTTCTCCATGTTGGTCTGGCTGGTCTCGAACTCCTGACCTCAGGTGATCCACCCTCCTCAGCCTCCCAAAGAGCTGAGATTATAGGAGTGACCCTCGTGCCCAGCCTGCCTTTTAATTTTATAGTACTTTTTGATTCACGGAAGTTTAATATTTTTATTTTGTCAAATCTATTGAATCTTTTTTTGGTGTGCCCTTTTTTGGGGTGTATCCTGGGCCCAGCCTTACCTTTTCATGTTAGACTCCTTCAGTGTTTTGTGAGCAGCTGATGGGTTGGCAGAACATACAACAGGAGTTTCGCTTTCCCCCCTCCACCTCCACCTGTCCTCATCACCTGGGACGGGAAGTAGGTGACATGTGGTACAAAAGGTGACTGTATGGACAGCAGAGACCTTGGAAACATACAGTGCATGACACAAGAATGGTGCCCCATGTTTGTATGAAATGCCTGATGATTGCTTTTACCACTCAATAAAAAAAGACAGTAGACAGATATGTAAAGTTTCATGCTGGTGCGTTAACGGACAAATTTCTAGAAAAATGGAGCTCATCAAAATGAATTCAAGAAGCAATGGAAAGCCAAAATAGTCTCGTAAAAAAATTTAAAATAAAAGCATCAAACCCCAAAGCGTTAGTTAAAAGGCTTGTACAAGAAAACATCCGGCTTATATAGGGTTTTTTTTATTTTTTTTTTATTTTTTTGAGACAGGGTCTCTCTCTGTCACACAGGCTGGAGTACCTCAGCCTCAGCTCACTGTAGCCTCTGCCTCTCAGGTTCAAGTGATTCTCCCACCTCAGCCTCCTGATTAGCTGGGACTACAGGCATGTACCACCATGCCCAGCTAATTTTTGTACTTTTTGGTAGAGACGGCGTTTTGCCATGTTGGCCAGGCTGGTCTTAAACACCCAATCTGAAATGAACACCCTGCCTTGGCCTCCCAAAGTGTTGGGATTACAGGCACAAGCCACTGTGCCTGGCCAGGCTTATATAGCTTTATGGTTGAATTCTATCAAATTTTTTCCTTATTGAAGCATAGCTGATAAATAACCATTTTTATTTATAGTGTACATTTTTATTTATAGTGTTTTATTTACATTGTGAATTGATTGCAACGATTAAGCTAATTAGCATATTACATAGCTATTATTTTTTGGTGTGGTAAGGACAGCAACTTTCAGGTATACAGTAGGTTATTGTTAACTACAGTCATCATGCTGTACAGTAGATTTCCAGAAGTTTATCCTAATCGAAACTTTGTTCCCTACGACCTACATCTGCCCATTCTCCTGAATTCTAACAAATCTGTAAGGAACAGGCAGTTCTAATGTTTGGAATAGGTCTAGGATCTATTTTCCATGATCTCCAATACATTCTTGAACCACTGTCATACCAATTAGTTTATATTTCATTTTTAAGGTTTATGTGTTAACTCTTTTGGAGATGTGGTCTCACTCTGTCATCCAGGCTGGAGTGCAGAGACAGGGTTTCGCCATGTTGCCCAGGCTGGTCATAGCTCACTGCAACCTCCACCTCCTGGACTCAAGCAGTCCTTGTGCTTCAGCCTCTCGAGTAGCTGGGACTACAGGTGTGCACCACCACACCCAGCTACTTTTGTTTTGTTTTGTTTTGTTTTGTTTGAGACAGAATCTTGCTCTGTCGCCTAGGCTGGAGTGTAGTGGCGTGATCTTGGCTCACTGCAACCTCCACCTCCCTCCCTGGTTCAAGTGATTCTCCTGCCTCAGTCTCCCGAGTAGCTGGAATTGCAGGTGCTTGCCACCATGCCCAGCTAATTTTTGTATTTTGAGTAGAGATGGGGTTTTGGCATTTTGGCCAGGCTGGTCTTGAACTCCTGACCTCAGGTGATCTGCCCACTTCAGCCTTCCAAAGTGCTGGGGTAACAGGCGTGAGCCACTGTGCCTGGCCCCCAGCTACGTTTTTTTTTTTTTTTTTTTTTTTTTTTTTGGTAGATCGAGTCTTGCTCTGTTCCCGAGACTGGAGTGTAGTGGTGTGATCTCAGCTCACTGCAACCTCCGCCTCCCAGGTTCAAGCAATTCTCATACCTCAGCCTCCTGAGTAGCTGGGACTAAAGGCATGTGCCACCATGACCAGCTAATTTGTTGTATTTTTAGTAGAGATGGGGTTTTGCCATGTTGCCTATGTTTGCACATGTTGCCCTGATCTCAAACTCCTGAGCTCAGGCAATGCGCCTGGCTTGGCCTCTCAAAGTGTTAGGATTATAGCTGTGAGCCACCATGCCTGGCCTACTTAAAAATTTTTTTTGTGGAGACAGGGTTTTGCTGTGTTGCCTAGGCTGGTTTTGAACTCCTGGACTCAAGCAGTTTGCCATCTTTGGTCTCCCAAAGTGCTAGGATTATAGCCGTGAGCCACTGTGCCTGGCTAATTTTGTTTGTTTCATCAATTCATGTTTCTTTTCCAGATAAGCTTTAGAATCACTTATTGTTATGCATAGCTAACCAACAGCAACAACAAAAAAATAGAATCACTTAAATTCCTAAAACTATTTTACAGGAATTCTTTGAGAGGGGTAGAATTTGCATTAAAGTTATGAATTTATTTTAGAAAGTTGGCATCACAATTATAAATAGGATGCCATTTCGTTTGAAACCAGGTCATCTGTGTCTTGTAGGATTTCCCACATTTTAGATTTGACTGATTACATTCCTGTATTACTATTTAACATGTTCCTGTATCCCTCAAATTTTGATCAGATTTAGGATTTATTTTATTTTATATATATATATATATATATATATATATATATATATATATATATTTTTTTTTTTTTTTTAATTTTATTTTATTTTTAAGATGGAGTGTTGCTGTATTGCCCAGGCTGGAGTGCAGTGGCACAATCTTGGCTCACTGCAACCCCCACCTCCGGATTCAAGTGATTCTCCTGCCTCAACCTCCCCAATGGCGGTGATTACAGGCGTGCACCACCACTCCTGGCTAATTTTTGTATTTTTAGTAGAAACGGCATTTCACCATGTTGGCCAGGCTGCTCTTGAACTCCTGACCTCAGGTGATCCTCCTGCCTTGGCCTCCCAAAGTGCTGGGATTACAGGTGTGAGCCACTGTGCTTAGCCAGGATTTATTTTATACCAAGAATTTTCTTACATGTGAAGCATTGTTATGGTGACTCACCATCCCACTTGCCTGGGACTGAGGGGTTTCCAGGATGTCAGACTTTCATGGTAAAACCTGGACAGTTCGGCTGGGCACGGTGGCTCAAGCCTGTAATCCCAGCACTTTGGGAGGCCGAGGCGGGTGGATCACGAGGTCAAGAGATCGAGACCATCCTGGTCAACATGGTGAAACCCCGTCTCTACTAAGAATACAAAAAAAAAAATAGCTGGGCGTGGTGGCGCATGCCTGTAATCCCAGCTACTCAGGAGGCTGAGGCAGGAGAATTGCCTGAACCAGGGAGGCGGAGGTTGCGGTGAGCCGAGATCGCGCCATTGCACTCCAGCCTGGGTAACAAGAGTGAAACTCCGTCTCAAAAAAAAAAAAAAAAAAAAAAAAAAAACCTGGACAGTTCTATTTCCTGTTGTGTCACATCAGGAGGCATATAATGTCAATATAATGTCATCTTTGTGTGTGAGGTTAAGACTGATGTGTGGTTTCAGGGTCAACAGCCATCATGATCCATCATTATGAAGTTCCCCATCAGTGTGGTCTTGGTTTGTCTGGGATAGACCCAGTTTGTATTAGTTGTCCCAATGTGATTATTAATAGTGCTTCCTTGCACCCAAAAAAGCCCTTGTCTGGATCATAAATTATATCTTTGTGCCACCCCTTGAAATTGGTTTCCCTGGAAGCAGAACCTGAGATAGGGATCCAGGTCCATGTGATTTTTTGGGGGGCCAGCTTTTCAGGAAAACCCAGTATGGGAGTGAGAGAAGCAGGATCTAAGGAAGGAAAAGCTACAAGCAAGTAAGGTCTGGCCCTGACTTGATTCATGGGGAACTGTGGAATTAACATCACAGTGAGTCTGGCTTTGAGGCACTCCAGCATTTTTTTTTTCCAGCTCCATCTAAGTCATTCATTGGCTACAGGCTTTGGAGGCAGGGGACAGGTTAGTTGAGAGGGGCAGCTGTGAGTCATGAGCAGCCAGCGCCTACAGCACCTGGAGTGTGATTAGCACCACTACACTATCGTCAGGCTTTCACCCAAAGATTTGAACAGCCACTGGTGATCAGAAGATGTCATTTAGTCTTCACTTAGCTAGAGAAGCTATATATTGGCTTAAAAGATAAAGTGAAAACTAATATTGGCTGGGTGCAGTGGCTCATACCTGTAATTCCAGCACTTTGGGAGGCTGAGGTGGGCAGGTCACCTGAAGTCAGGAGTTCGAGACCAGCCTGGCCAACATGGCAAAACCTCATCTCTACTAAAAATACAAAAATTAGCTGGGTGTGGTGGTGAACACCTGTAGTCCCAGCTACTCAAGAGGCTGAGGCAGGAGAATCGCCTGAACCCAGGAGCTGGAGGATGCAGTGTGCCAAGATTATGCCACTGCACTCCAGCCTGGGCGTCAGATCGAGACTCCATCTCCCCCCAACCCCCAACAACAACAACAAAAAAGAAAACTAATATTTCAGATGTTGCCTCATTTCTGTACCAGGTCTGTTTGCTCTACAACAAAGGGGAAGCTCTTTATGGCTACTGCAACCTCAAGGATAAATGCAACAAGTTTCACGTGTGCAAATCCTTTGTCAAGGGAGAGTGTAAACTTCAGACCTGCAAACGGTCCCATCAGCTTATCCATGCCGCATCCTTGAAGCTGCTGCAGGACCAAGGATTGAATATTCCAAGTGTTGTGAATTTTCAGATAATATCCACCTACAAGCATATGAAGCTGCACAAGATGCTTGAAAATACAGGTAGGAATATCCAAGGAGGAAGGAGAACTATCAGTGATAGAGTTTTGGGATGCTTCACTGTAAAGAATAAGAACAGTAACGTGAAAGTGAGTCTGAGGGTGAAGCAGTTCCTATGTTAATCTCAGCTTTAGTCTTGGGAAAGTTTGTAACAGTCAACATTTTATTGTATAGAATAGTGACCCTAACCAAAGGAGGGAAGGGATGGAGTATATCTTTAGCACTGTGACTGCCAGTCATTAGAATCTGCCGAAGTCATTGAAGAGTAGTTTGTTGGTAATTTGGAGGTCAGGAAGTAGTTAGAACAGTTTTAACAGCATGGTTAGGAAAAAGAGGAAGGAGATGGGCCAGTGACTAGAAAAGTAAGATTAATGCAGGATGGCTTTCTTTTCAGAAATAGAATTTTTTGCTTTGTTAGTTTTTTGTTTGTTTGTTTTTGTTTTTTTGAGATGGAGTCTCGCCTGGTTGCCAGGCTGGAATGCAGTGGTGCGATCTCAGCTCACTACAACCTCCATCTCCTGGGTTCAAGCGATTCTCCTGCCTCAGCCTCCTGAGTAGCTGGAACTACAGGAGCCCACCACCATGCCCAGCTAATTTTTGTATTTCTAGTAGAGATGGGTTTTTACCATGTTAGCCAGGGTGGTATCGATCTCTTGACCTTGTGATCTGCTTGCCTCAGCCTCCCAAAGTGCTGGGATTACAGGCGTGAGCCACCGCACCTGGCCTGCTTTGTTAGTTTTTAAGTAATTTTAACGACATTACAGAACAATTTGGAAAATAGAGACTAGAAATGAAAATTGGATATGATTTTGCTCACTCTGATCTACTATACTTGTTAAAATTTTATTACAGGCCCTTCAGTTCTGTTATATACAGACATGAATCCAGTTGTGGTCAAAGTACATGTTAATCTAGTATCTTAAATTTCCACTTTATACAACATCATACATATTTCCCCATATTGCTAGGAATATTGCATATTCCCATTATAAATATATTCCCTTAGTCTCTCAGTCATTTTTGTGGTTTTGGAGACAGGATCTTGCTGTGTTGCGTAGGCTGGAGGACAGTGGCACAGTCATGACTCATGGCAGTCTTGAACTCCTGGGCTCAAGTGATCTTCCTGCTCAACCTCCCTAGTAGCTGGGACTATAGGCACAGACCATCATGCCCAGCTAATTTTTTAATTTTTCTTGTGTAGGGACATGGTTTTGCTATGTTGACCAGGCTGGTTTTGAACTCCTGGGCTCAAGTAGTCCTCCAGTCCTGGCCTCCCAAAGTATTGGGATTACAGGTGTGAGCCACTGCACTTGGCCTTGAGTAATTTTTTTAAAGTCTACAAAGTGTGGTTTGGTGTTCTTTTCATTATAATGCATTCAGTTACTTATTCTGTTAGATTTGCTGGCACCTCAAAATCAGTGGGTGATGGGCTTACGAGAATTGCTGTTGGGAAAAGTGAATCACCGAAGGTGGAGTTGCTGAGCTTTTACCATGGGGTTTTCATGTGTTGGGATGTTAGTGTCAGACACAGTGAGGGCACATAGAGAGGGTTCTGCATATACAGTGTCAGAGGCTGTTTAGGGTGGCAGGTACCACCCTAAACACCTGGTGGCAGTTTTCTTCTACCTTCAGCTATGTCTAGGGCCTGTCGTTGTCTTCATCTGGTTTTGTTTGGTGAGTCTCTCCTGTGATAGAGTGACTTTCCGCTTACGATTTTTTATACACACACACGTGTGCACACACACACCACAAACACACACACACACACACACACACACACACACTTTTTTTTTTGAGATGGAGTTTCACTCCTGTTACCCAGGCTGGAGTGCAATGGTGCCATCTTGGCTTACCGCAACCTCTGCCTCCTGGGTTCAAGCAATTCTCCTGCCTCAGCCTCCTGAGTAGCTGGGATTACAGGCGAACGCACCATGCCCAGCTAATTTTTGCATTTTTTAGCAGAGACGGGGTTTCACCATGCTGACCAGGATGGTCTTGATCTCTTGACCACGTGATCCATCCGCCTCGGCCTCCCGAAGTGCTGGGATTATAGGCGTGAGCCACCGCGCCCGGCCCACACACACTCTTTTAAAATCCAGAAGACATGAACTCTCCAAATCCAGGTGTTGGGAGTCTTGTCTGATGTCTGGTTAGCTAGGCTGTTGATCCCAACATAAAATGAAACTTGGGGAGTATCTTAGGAAAACTTATCCCTTTCTTTGTAGGTCATTCATCATCTTCTTCTGAGTCTTCACAAGGCCTTGAGAAGAAAGGAGTGCATGCAGCTGGAGCTGCAGAAGCTGGTCCTCTGACTTCTGTCCCTGCTCAGTCGGCCAAGAAGCCCTGCCCAGGTAAACCTTAAAGGAGGTCAGTGAACTAAGAAGCAGCTTGTACAGCTTGGAAGATCAGAAAACAAGGCTTCTGTTTAGCTTTAATTTGTAACCATTCGTTCACTTAATTGTTGATTGGTAACGGTCATAATAATATCTACCTCACCGTGTGTTGTGAGAAGTAAAGAAGATGGAAAAGGAGAAAATGTCCTTCTGGAAGTATACAGTCAGGCATGGCTGGTTGGGGATGGGATTGGGCATTGAGCAGGCAAAGAGAGGCTAAAATTGAGCGCAGGTGGGGCCAGTCAGGGCGAGTGCTGAGGATGGCAGCTTCTGCCTGCGGTGCCTGGTGCTTTCCTCAGGCCGGGTGGATGGAGCTCTGCTGACATGTGGTCCACCGTTGTTTTTCTCATTTTATATTGAGGCAATCATAGAGTACCTTGCACACATTTTTTTTTTATATACTTAATATGGCTTCATAATTATCTTTCTATATTTGTTCACATCATACATAATCATGTTTTTGCACAGATACATTAATACGTCATAGTTTATTTAATTGCTTTCCTTTTCTAACAATTTTTTTTTTAGATGGTCTTGCTCTGTTGCCCAGGCTAGAGTGCAGTGACGTGATCTCGGCTCACTGCAGCCTTGACTTCCTGGGCTCAGGTGATCCTCCCACCTCAGCCTCCTGAGTAGCTGGGACTACAGGTATGCACCACCACGACTGGCTAATTTTTTGTATTTTTTTTGTAGAGAGGGGATTTTGCCACGTTGCCTAGGCTAGTCTTGAACTCCTGGGCTCAAGCGATCTGCCTGCCTCAGCCTCTCAGAGTGCTAGGATTACTGGCATAAACCACTGCACCCGGCCTCTCTAACAAATTTTGAATATAACTCTTGTCTTAAAATCTGCAGAATGTTGAATTTTTCAAGCTCTTCTTTTACTTTTGTTTAGCTTATAGGTGCTAAAGGATACTGTCATTTGCCTTTTTACACTATTTGTATGAGTGAATGGTTTTCTGGTGCCTGCTTTCTGATTGTTCTTATTTTGTCATTTTATATTTGACCTTTTATTAACGGGGCCCTCCTTTACGCCGATGTGGGGCAGCCTTTAATGAAGCTCCACAGTTTTCCTAAAAGGATGTCAGCGGTACTGTGCTTGGATGATATTCAATTTCTCGAGGTCCATCCTCAGCCAGCACTACAGAGTATGTAACCTTTGTGTTCTCTCCAGAGACTTGTACCTCACTCTGTGTACTCTTCATCTCTTACTGAACTTTTACCAAAGCCCAATTGCTATAGCTTGAGGGATGCGTAGTTCATCCATTCCTTTAAATCGTATCCATTCTTTCTGTGGATCAGGATGGACCATCAGAAGTCTGTATACCTCCCCCCTTTCATGAACACTTTCCCCTTTCTCCCTTCCTCCACTGCTCTCCACCTACCCAGCTGTGCTCATTGAGTTACATTTCAGTATTTTGTGGTTTATTTTCATCAAGGGGTACCACAGGAAGCAGCTTTATGAAATTAAATTTGTTCCGTTTATTGTAGTTATTCCCAAATGTCATTGTGTAAAGTATCGTTGTTTTTTTTTTTTTAATTCAACTGTCCTGCAGTAACATAACATTTGAGAAACAGAGACAGTGTAATAAGTCTTCATAAAGCTAAATTAATGTAGAGAAGTTTTTGTCATGAAATGCTGTCTTTCAATTGGGGGAAAAGCAAAAATGTCCTTTTTCAATTGAGAAATTGCTGTGTTTCCTCCTAATGGATAGTAAGAGTCGTGAACTTGTGTTGACCTTTGTACTTTCATTGTCAACAATATGTCTGAAAGCCCTTACATTCTACATATTTTGTCTTTTCTCTAGTCCAGATTTCTCCTGGTGATAATTTTTTAAAAATATTTTTACATTTAATTATTTCTACGACTTACACTTATCACTTTGCTGTGTATATTTTTGTAGTAAGCTATCTTAAATCCTTAATGGAAACAGTGTAGGGGATAAATACATTTCCTTTACGTTGAGAGACTTGGTGGCTTTTTCCATGTTTATGTTCTGTTTTTATATCTTATCATTATGCTTGTATCTGTGAAGTTATTGGTCCTCTGTAATCTTCGTTGCAGTATTTTACTCAGTTCTATAATAGTCTGCTTTAATCTTAGTTTTGTTGGTATTCATTCTGTAAAATGTTTTATGTAATCATGCCTGTCTTTCTCTAATTTTCATCTCATGATTCAGCTGTTACTGCATTACAGTTGGAGAAGAGTTTTCTTTGGTGATTTTTTGGGGTTTTTATGTAAAGTCGCATGTCTCTAGACTCTATAAATTCAACATAGTCTAAATTGAATCACAAATTTTCCACTAGTCTTGTTCCTCCTTTTATTTTCTTGTTTTTGAATGTCACCACTATCTACCTAATGACATAGACAAAAGCTGTAAATTGTCCTATACTTTTCTTTCTTTTTGTTCCCTGTGTCAAACCGGTAACCCAGTGTTGGAGAGATTTTCCCCCTCAAAAGCCTCTCAAATATTTATCCTTCTCTGCCCGTTTCTTTCCACCCCTTACACACGGCCTTGTTTCAAACCCTCATCACCTCCCTGCGTGTATTCCACAGATGCATACCTCAGTGGTTTTCAAGTTAGGTGTTAATGGGAGTTTTTGGAAAAGGTGCCCTGTTCCCCCACTGCAGTGATGGTAACCCTATTTCTTTTTTTTTTTTTTTTTTTTTTTTTTTTTTGAGACGGAGTTTCGCTCTTGTTACCTTACCCAGGCTGGAGTGCAATGGCGCTATCTCGGCTCACCGCAACCTCCGCCTCCCGGGTTCAGGCAATTCTCCTGCCTCAGCCTCCTGAGTAGCTGGGATTATAGGCACGCGCCACCATGCCCAGCTAATTTTTTGTATTTTTAGTAGAGACGGGGGTTTCACCATGTTGACCGGGATGGTCTCGATCTCTCGACCTCGTGATCCACCCGCCTCAGCCTCCCAAAGTGCTGGGATTACAGGCGTGAGCCACTGCGCCCGGCTGGTAACCCTATTTCAATGTTTAATAGAATAGGCTTTGTGGATTTCACTGGTCTCCTTATACGCTCTTTACTTTTCCTGCCTTCCATCTGGCTGCCTGATGTTTTGAAAGCAAACTAATCATACTGCTTTTTTCCTGCTGAAACTTTCCTTGGTCCTCAGCATGCAGGGTAGTAGTCATAAACTCACATGCCTGCAGGGACTAGAAAGGTGAGTTAAATGGATGAAGTGGACTGGATGCAAGAGAAATGGGGGAAGGGGGAAGTGCTGTGGCAAACTGTCTCATCTAAAAAGGACACCTGCCTCTCGTATCCATGTGGGAATGTGGGCCCACTTTGTCATACTTCCCAGTGTTTTTAAACGAAGCTGGAAATTCAGATTGTTACGAGAAATTTTCTGATTTTTGAATTATGACTTCAGTCGAGTTTTAAAAATGCTGACCAACATTGTGTGTACTTGATCTACTTGGAATTTCTGGAATGTGCTGTTTTGTCTTGTGATTCTCTGTAAATGATGTTCCTTTTTTTTTTTTTTTGTCAGAGTCTTACTCTGTCGCCCAGGCTGGAGTGCAGTGGCATGATCTCGGCTTGCTGCAACCTCCGTTCCTGGGCTCAGGTGATACTCCTGCCTCAGCCTCCCAGGTAGCTGAGATTATAGGCATGTGCCACCACACCTGGCTAATTTTTGGATTTTTAGTAGAGATGGAGTTTCACGGTGTTGGCCAGGCTGGTCTTGAACTCCTCACCTGAAGTGATCCACCCACTTCGGCCTCCCAAAGTGCTGGAATCACAGATGTGAGCCACTGTACCCCGCCTGATGTTCTCTCTTTTATAAGTGCCATTCCTTCTTCCTTCTTTCTACCTCACAACCTGGCAAAATTGGATTCTTCAAAATGCCAGGTTGGCCCTTCTTGACTCCAAAAGAGGTGGCTCCTGCAGCATTCTCACAGGCCACACATAGCACTTACTTTATGCTGCAATGCTGTGTATTTTTACTCCCTAACTGTGAGCTGGAACATTATTTATTCTTGGTCATTGTAACACTAGTTAGTGAAGACATATTTTTTGCCATATAATGGATTATACTTTATATTTGAATCCATGTGAATCACTATCATATTGGTCTTCATTGTTTTTCCTCCTTCCCCTACTTTTTTTTTTTTTTTGAGACAAAGTCTTGCTCTGTTGCCCAGACTGGAGTGTAGTGGCACAGTTATAGCTCCCTGCAGCCCTGATCTCCTGGGCTCAAGCCATTCTCTTGCCTCAGCTTCCCTAGTAGCTGGGACTATAGGTGCATGCCGCCACACTCAGCACATATTTGTAGGTTTTTAGTAGAGATGAGGCCTCACTATGTTGCCTAGGCTGGTCTTGAACTCCTAAGCTCCAGCAATCCTCCTGCCTTGACTTCTGAAAGTGCTGGGATTACAGGCATGAACCACTATGCCTCGCCATATTTTATCCAATATTAGAAAACATTTTTCTCCCCTAAGGAATGTGTTACATAAGGTCAACATCTTTTTAGTGCTTCAATTTGACTTGTCTACATCTAAAGTTAACTCTTTATGACTTATATTTATGATATAAGTAATTCTTTCCATCGAGGGACTTACTGTCCATTATTGTCATGTTTCTTGATTTTTTTCATTACACATGGTTCTTTTTGTCTGGGTTTTATATATGCCTTATTAAATTGATTCTTGGCTATTTTATATCTGCGTTGCTATCAGCATGGGAATCTATCATTAGAAAGCTATTAACTTTTAAAATATGTATCTTTTGATGGTTGTCTTTGTTCTAAGAGTTTTAGATGGTCTGTTTGCTATTTCTGAATATAAAATCATAGATATTTCTATTTTGTTCTTGTGTTTCATAAAATTATACTTTTTTTTATATTTCTTCATTACATATGCAGTTAATTGTTGGTTTTAAAACAAACGTTCTTTGTTAGGATAACAGAAATAACATCTTCTTGTTTGTTGGAAGCTAAAAGCTTGATAAAAGGAATTGGTACAATCATACTTTTATCACTTAAATTGCCTAATATGATTATATTAAGCATTTTTGTAATATCAAAATATCCTTAAATTGCTGAGCTAAAACTCTACCTGGTTAGAGTAGATGATATTTTAATGTATTATCTTTCCTATTTGCTATACATCTATATATTCACAAATAAAATTCATTTATCTTTTATGTGTGTATGTAGTAATTTCCTTTTTATTTTTACTGGCATATGGTCAGAGTATAAATCTTAATTCTAAGTACTGTCTGGAGTTTTTGTCAGTTGATTTGTAATGCCAGTTTTATTTCAAAAATAATGTATTTTGGAAT